CATGTATTAAAGCTCCATGTACATGTGTGTCCTTCACATTTTAGCCCAGTAATCTAATCTTTGTTTCATTTTTAACAACAAAGACAAAACAAATTAGCACCATACCTGTAACTCACAAATGTGGCATTTACTTTACACATGTACATGCATGTACATGTATGTATTTAAACAGCTAAACCATCATTCTCTTTCAACACGCAAGGGGGTGTGTGCCCAGGGGGTGTCCAGCATGCGACCTGGACAGCAAGTTGTGGGAGGTGATCCTGGAATACAGCAAAATTGACAGGAACACTGGTTTGAGATTCGACCCTTTTATTTTCCAGTTGATTCCCGCATGAATTAATTAAAACAAACCCCTGCAAATACAGAGAGATACACGTGTATAATTGTACATATCCATCATTCCTGAAATAATTACACACAATAATAATTTATACAATTATAATACATTATCACATGTAAATGGAAGCGTCAAATATTATATCTTACCCAACAGGCAACTCTCCAAGACTAAAAACCCAAATGTGCAGGCTACGCAATGGATTAGAAGCTACATGTATACATACGAATGGCCTGCCGAAACAATACAAAAGTTGCAGTGATGTTGGAGTGAACAACAGTAAAATCCTGGAATACATGTAGAGTACAATGTACATGTATATTGAAGTTTGAGAGCCATGCGTACTGCGCACATTGAACATGTACAACATGTACACGTGCACATGTACATGCACAATGCACACTGTCACTATGAATGCCCAACAAAGGCCAAAGGTCACCAAACCAGACAGTGCACATACTGTGGAGTGCGTACCGGTACAACAGGGCATTGCTACATACATGTACACCACATATGGCAGAGAATCGGACATGGTGAGCCCAAGAACACTCATTTACAAGAAAACTACGACCAGACAAGTCTGGGAGTAACACTCACCAGTCGCCAGAAATCCCAATTCCCTTCCTCCAATGCTGCCCCGGTTACCAGAATGATTTTAAGCCCAAGAAGCATAAAATATAGACATGAAACGTGGTTGTGTTCGTTCACAGTTCCATCAAAGACCCAGCGAAAGTTCTGGAGAACTACATACATGTATATATATCTCGCGCCTTATTACAGTCCTCCAAAAATATCGGTGCTCTTCCCGCCACCTTCTGGGTTAAGATAGTCCACTCCCCCAAAGTTAAGATCGGGATCTAATATTAATACCAGGTTAACTAATCAATTAAACTTACTCAAGTTACTCTACCTAGGGATAAACAAATGATTATCTTAGTGAGGGACTACATTGTATTTACATGAACACTCCCAACTGCAATAAGACCTGTGTGGTTAGACTTATTTCCAGCCCATGTTTACCAATTCCCCACATTTTATTGAGCGGACAGGAACGACAACATTCTGGAAACACAGAAACAGAAAGGGGACTTACTTAGGAATCTAACTCGAATCGATAAGTTTCAAACTATTCACTTTCCCTAGTGGAGAGATTAACATGTAAATTTACATTCTACTGGAATATGTTCAACTACGTCTGATACAACTGAACTAGTCGCTAAACCAGATATCGCCGTAATTAGAATGAAGCTAAAACTAGAATTACTGGGCCTGTCATGAATAAAACAAACAGAAGGCAGAGTGAAAATCAAACCATTGACGTGTTAGAAAATTCCGTTAAATTGTTGTACAAATGTATTTACCTGAAGGTTTTCTTTTCCCGGACTTGTACTGTAATACACAGGATACGATGGAATGATTCATAAATACAAACAAAGAATGTCATTGTTACTAAGTTGTGCACGGACGCAATGCTTCTTCGCGCCATGATACAGCAGTCCAGCTGTTATTCAAACCAACCCTTCGGGGCCACAAAGATGGATCTGTACATGATCAGGTCCCCATCCTCTATGATCAGGCAACACTTCTGTACGCGCTGCCTTTTCTCCCCAGATGGGGTCTTGACCAGGACATTTCTAACTACTCCGTCATCTCCGGGAAACACCTCAATGATTCGCGCCATGCTCCACTCTCCAGAGCGAGCTTGTCGTCTGTGAGTAACATGACATCCCCAACGGCTAACTGTCGACCAGCGTTTCACTATTTTTGTCTGGACATAAGTGTGTGAAGGTATTCCCGTTTGAAGCGCCTGCAGAATTGCGTGACAAGACCCTGTATGAATTCGAAGCATTTATGCAAGTTTCCAGTCTCGTTGAACTAACCTCGTTGGGTATCTATGGAAGCTCTCCCAATCATGAAATCATGGGGGTAAGAGGTCTGAAATCATTTGGGTCATCAGATGAATATCTGATCGGCGTGGAATTAAGAAGACCTTCCACTTCACCGAAGGCTGTGGTCATTTCATTCCACGTCAGAATCTGGCCTGAAATTAAAACTTTAATAAGACTCTCATAGAATCCTCCCTTGTGAGGACTAAGGGGTGTGATAAACCACCACTTCAATTTGTGGAGAACTGCAAAGTCTTCCAGCTCCCTCCGTCTCTCTGTGAACAGCTTTTTGAGTTCCTTCTCTGCACCAATGAAGGAAGTGCCATTATCAGATAATACGGTTGAAGGCCAATAATGATGTGCTGCAAATCGTCGAAAAGCATGCATGAAGGCTTAGGTCGAAAGATCCTCTACTTCTTCCAAGTGGATCGCTCGAACTGTGGCACAAGTAAAAATGGCTCCCCAAGCTTTCTTGGCTTTATTATGGCCGTATTTCAACTGGAAGGGACCAAATAGATCAATGCCAACAGCGAAAATATTCTCAGACGGTCTGGTGGTAAATTAGCCATCAAGGTGACATGTGGAGACTGACGGGGTTTACGACAGACTACGCAGACTTTCCCCATCTCCCTCGCAAGACTCCATCCCTTGAGAATCCAGAACTTTCTCCTGCTGTTGCACAAAGTTCTCTCTGCTCCTGGATGAGCCTTGAATTATGAACATCCTACATAATCAGTCGGGATATGTGTCCTGAAGAATGGGATGAATTTCGTCATACGAAAGGTTTGCCTTTCCCAGTCTTCTGCCAACTCTTACGAGGTTATTTTCTCGATGAATGGTCTGTTGTACATACTGAACTGCATTGACCATGAGGCAACTTTATTGGGGACATTGTGAGCTAAAGTAAACAAACAGGGGGTCACACTACCAAGAAAGGGGGGATATCCAACTGAGACTGAAATAAGTGGGGTTTTCCTCAGTAAGGGGAATCTTCTAAACAACAAAGAATACATAAAATAACAACTGAAAATTGATCCTGCCACACGCACATGCACTAACTCTAAGAGGTGCACAGAAGCATAGGAGTGAACATACATGTACGTTGCCAGATTAAGTAAAAACCGGTAGAGGGGTTTTTCTACAGTCAAAAAATGATTTCATAGAATTTTAAGAATTGAATTCTTTAACTGTGCATAAATTCCCTGTGAGAGGTGAGTTTGCCCAAATAAGTTTAGATTTTTGTCAGGCGCCGTGCAGATATCATAAAATGTCATAAAATATCATAAAATGTTCGTGTGGTTTTGAATGCAGTCTGGTTGTCTGTATGCATTTTGTGCATGTACATGCACATCTGTTGGTCCATTTGGGCCGATGTCAAGAATGCGCATTTTCACATTGATGCATTATAGCGAGCGACTGACAAGTTCCTGACCCATTATTCTAGGCAAAACCATATTGGAAAATCAGAATATCTGAAATCAGTCTTGGTAAAGTGATGCATCGCAGCATCGGAGTCCACGTTGGTACCGTATACATGTATAATACATGTACATGTACATGTACAGTGTATGTCACATTATAGGGATTGATCTGTCATTGAAAACTTCAAGTTTTGCCGGACTCATGCTGGACTCTGACCTAGTCCTTCCTTGGAGTCTTTACATGTACGCCTGAGTCCAAGGCCGAGTCCAGAAGAGCCGAATCCAAGTCCATGAAAAAGAGGACTCTAGTCTAAGTCCGGACTCGAGTCATACAACACTGCTACAGGTACCAGCCCAGATACTGGTGTAAAAAGTATTAAAAAGCATTATGGTTCAGACTAATCCTACCCGTGGCAGAAACAGTGAAGAAGGAGATGTTGTCCAAAGTTTGGATGCAACGTTTGTGGAAAATGGAAGTGACCTTAAAACAGTTGTTTGCATGTTTAACACATGTATGTGTATATTGTAATTTCTGACCAAAACCTGTTATTCAGGAAAAACTAAATGACATTATGGGCTGTTAATAGTCCATTCATCTTGATGCGGTAACTCAATTTATTAGAACACGAAGACTGGTCTCATTACATACACTGTATGCTTTGTGACAGTGCCTCCAATGGATGTGATGTTGTCTAATTCAAATGGTGAGAAGGCACCAGGAGCTCAAGTGACTGTTTACGAAGGAACACAGTGGACCATCACATGCTCAGTACAGGGTAGCAGACCAGCTTCAAATATCCAGTGGCTAATTAATGATACCACACCGTCTGCTGGAGTGGGAACCCCGACTGAATTACCTGCAAATGGACTGATAGATACAATAGGTACCTGGACCTTCACACCTGGCAGAGTTAATCACATACAGGTTGTCAAGTGTGTTGCAAATACTGCAGAGTCACAGCAACCGTATCCGTCAAAAAATATAACCTTGGCTGTTATTGGTATGTATGGTAACAATATTTTTCTGTCCCTGATCAATATCACTTTAGGTTAGAGTAGAACAGAAAAACAGAGTCTTGAGTCTTTTTGCAAGTTATAAATATACATACAAAATGTAAAATGATTCTTATAGTTTTGCTTTACTGATTTTCACTGCCTTTGCCAAGGGGAAAACAGTTTCACCTCTGATTGGGTAGTTCATATTAAGCCCCCGGGATCAGAAATAGCCAAGAGGGATCTAGCTGGAAATGGATCAGTTTGAACTATTTTGCCACTAGAAATCTAATAAACTACTCATTTGCTACATTTCCTGCACATGTAGGTCCTCCTGACAATCCAGTAATTTCAGGCAGTATGGTAATGACCGAAGGTGTATCAGCCACACTGACATGCACAGCAGATAAAGGTTACCCCAACGACTGGAAGCTAACTTGGTCAAATGGAACTACGGATATTGATGGTACAACTACAGTTCCTGAGGATTCCTCTTCCAGCATCTATCGCTTCATGTTTAGCAGTATCTTAAACCTAACGCCCGCAAGAGATGACAATGGTAAGACAGTCATTACATGTGCTGTCGAAAGAGATATGTGGATCCCAGGCCGAGTAGATTCATATGGACCAATAGATGTTCAATGTGAGTATTGTTTGTACATTTACCGGTATGTGCATAAATGCTTTTGAATAATTCTAATGGTTTGAAAGGCTTCATTCTGACTGAATACCAGACAGCATAAGTGGATAGAACTCAGATAAAATGTAGAGGATAATTGAAACAGAGCAGAAAACCTACATGTATATTTTCATTTAAATGAATATTATTCATTCATTCATTGTTTAGGCTCACTATCAGCCAACAGTGGTACAAATAGATAATGTTATCTTAAATTTAGTAATACTGTATAAGATTTCTCCGGACTTGGTTTTTATTAGAAAAATAACCACATTTAAGAGTTTGCATTTTTCATGGATGGTATATCATGTTTAATGTAGTTTGTGCAAGAACCGTGAATGTGCAATGCCCTGCAGTAATAACAGCCGGCAATACAGCCACCTTGAGTTGTACATCAGAAAGCAGCAATCCTGAAACTACATTGACTTGGTACGACAGGAATGATGCTGAACTGTCAAGTTCTAATCCCCAAGTGGATCCAAATGGTGCTTATGGAGGCAAAGTGACTACGAGAAGTCACACTACTGCTGAACTGACAAAGGCTAACAATGGTGATGTGTTCAAATGCTGCGCTACAAATACTTTTATTTCATGTGCTACAAATGTATGTGACACATGCTCACTGGATGTCCAATGTGAGTTTCCTCATTTTTTCTAATTTTCTGTTTTACATGTGAGTTTTGCCTAATTGTACAGGTGTACATGGACATGTACAGTGTATTTGCATCCTATACCGTACATGTACCCTACATACATATACAAATGTACATGTACTTGTCATTGATATGACCGATGATCTTTAATAAGTGAATGAATTCATGGAGTACATGTATAAATTTAACATTAGGTTTAATTTCTTGACTCTGGTTGATCTTGGTAGTGTTCCTGCATGCAGGTATACATAGAATTTTGTAGCTTCACTACAGTGCCTACTCAGACATATGGATTTGGAGGGATACTTCAAAATGAACACTGTTTTCTTGAAACCTGATTATTTGGCTTTGCTTTAAGCTCTTGAGCTTTGGTTTTTATTCAAAATGTCCAGATCCCCCAGTATTTTCTCGACTGATACAGTTTCCAGTTAACCCAGTTCTGGAAGGCAGTGACGTAATCCTTAACTGTACTGTTGATGCCAACCCAAGACCCAGAAATCTCATATGGGAGAAGCAAGACTCAAAGAAAATACTGAACACAGTTTACACTGATGAAACCAGTACACTTACACTACTTAACATCAAGAGGGGGCAGTCTGGGAACTACACTTGTAGAGCAAACAACGGACTGCCTGCTGATGATACTTTGAATGATGCTGTATCGGATCCAGTCACTGTTATAGTGCATTGTAAGTCCATTTATGTGAATGTGTCTGTTACTGGAATTCAGTAGATTATACCCTGTAATATGGAAGAATTAAGGGATGATGATTTTAATGAAAAGAATTGTAGTGATTGGATCAGTGGAGTATACATAAGAAAATAACCGAACTGTAAGCATATCATTCTGACTGATTGTTTTCATTAACCTACAGATGAAGTCAATATCACCAATAAGGTGATGGATGAAGTGGGAATCAAAGATAGTGCTGATGCTGTCCTAGTCTGCGTAGCGATAGGCAATCCTAAGCCGGTTATGGTGTGGTATGGTCTGAATAATACAGTCTTAACTGGTGACACAGAAGCAAAGTTCACAGTAACCAGTGCGACTACTGGAGGAGACAGAGTCTTTGGATATGAAGTCACCAGCAACTTGACCATCAAAGAAGTCAATTCCCAGATAGACTATGGGTTGTACACCTGCAACAGCTCAAATGGAATAGGGAAAGAAGACTCACTGGAAATTGCTCTCACTGGAACAAGTAAGACATAATGTGCCTTTCCACATTCACGTCAACACTAAGCGTTGCGTTTCCATTAAAATCGCTACCGATGCGAGGTTGAATGCCGAATGCAATGTACAGTATACATGTGTATTATATTAATTGAGCCATTTTTTGTCTGTGAAAGTGAAACGCATGAACCCATGACATGTAGTGTGTTCAACGCTCCTAAAAAAAAGTACATACGGAAGGGCGCCTTATTCAGATTTTATAAATGAATGTCGTAAAGGCTGATTCACTATCAACTTTGTTATTATTCGCATCCGTTGTTCATCCTATTCACCAGAAAAGGCAGGTGTAAATAAACATCTGGTAAAATAAAATGAAATAAAATATACATGTATATCTTTAATATTTACCACTAACCATTTACTTTTTGCAGTTAGGGTTATTGTACTTCATCATTTCTTGAAATTATTTTGTGAACCAGTACAACAATTGAAGAAAAAAGATGTATTTTAAATGAATTAAGGAAATTGCTCTAATTTTGGAACTCTTTTTATATTTGTATCTTTTGTTCATTGGTAATATTTTAGACAGAAATTACATGGTTACTTATAAGATGTCCAACCACTTATTTACAAAATTGTAGGACGACCAGACAAGCCCGGAAGAGTTGAGATTACAGAGCGGACGGCAGAATCTCTGACTGTAACATGGACAGTAGGGTATGATGGTGGTGAGGAACAATCATTCCGTGTCAGCTACTTGAAGACATCAGATTCTACAGAGACAAGCAGTGACAATGTGACAGGNTGGGAAGACGACATACACAGTGACGGGTCTGGAGGACTACACAGAGTATGAGATCAGGGTGTATGCCAAGAATGCCATCGGTGAAAATACTGACTATGCCAAAGTAGTGGGACATACATTGCGTAAGTATCACCTGACATTCTGATCTTCGTGTTAGTCCCTTTTCCATTTAGAATCGCAAATTTCCGACACGTTTTTTTGAGACTTGAGAAGTTGTTTCAACTCAAGTGAATAAATTAATATTTCTTGGGAAAATTTTAGGCTTCATTTGATTGCTTTTATATAGTTTGTTTTCATTCTTTTATTCCACGAGTGGTTGACTGTGTTAACATGGTGACAAAAAGTGTAAATTCTTCTGAGAAAGGCAAAAACTCGTTTTTATTTATACACTGTATATTTCATGTTCATACAACATGGCATTCAACGTACCAAACATTGTAAACTAAAGGAGGAATATAAATGACAGTGAAGAAGTCAATGAAAAGCTGTTCAGTTTAGAGATCGGAGGGAAATTTTGAAAATACTCAAAACCAGAAATGTCATTGTGTCTCATCTTGTGCATCCCAAATGGAGTTTAAATATACTAGTAGGATGCTGAATACACGAAAACATGCTCTGTATGCATGATACATGCTCAGCATGAACATCATACATGTAGATGCACACGTGTATGCACCGCACATGTGCCTCCATGTGTGTTCATCACAGTGATGTAAAAATTACAATTTTGAAAGTGCATGAAATGTTCATAGCAAAAAACAGTTGGAAAAATCTGAAAAATTTTAAATATTGAGCTTTGAGAGAGTGAAGAATTGAATAAACATTCCCACTTTAATACCAATCATATTCAAAACATGCGGTTAGAATCAAGTGTGGGGCATGAATGTATGTGCGTACAGGTGTTCTTATGGTACTTTTTAAAACACAACTTTATAAGTACGGTTTTCAATGCACATGAACCTCCAAGTACAATGAACCATCAAATTCCTTTGGACTCGCCCGCAGCAGCTGACCAGGGGAATAGATGGAATGGAAGAGTAATAACGTGACATGTAAAAGCTTGGAATTCCCCTGCTTGTAATGGTTGAACTTAAAAGAAATGTGCAGGTACCGGTACTTTGGTGATTATAATGCTACTTGTAAGTTTCCGCTGCAGCTGAAGAAGGAAACAGGAAACCAATTTTTTTTTTCTGTGACTGCAAACATCATAGAATTCCCCTGACTGTGAGGCCTGTCTTTTGTGGATTATTTTGCATTGTGTTGCTCACCGTGGGAACCAGTATTTCCTCATTCCTCCTTTGTGTTTGCATTTTTTTCAAATGGCCATAGCGGTACCAAATGTTGTGACTTCAATCTAGATTTCATTTTTTTTCAGAAAAAAATTTGCATTGATTACTTGACTACTAAGGCTGATTCACAAATAGTGAGCCTGCAAGATTTTGCAACACGTCGGCCAATCAGTGTACGAAATCTGTCGACCCTTTCCAAACATGCACAGGGTCGATAGATTTCGGGCATTGTACCGGTATTTAGCCAACTCATTGCGAACTCTTGGAGGAGCACTATAGTTAATAGTCTGTATTGTTTAACTTGTGCTGTCATATTTCTTTTCAAAATTCTTTTATTTGAAAGTCATTCATAGAAAGGAAACTGCTACAAAAATCGAAGAAAGAACGTTTTAAATAATGACATAAAATTTTATGATCGAAATACCCTTGGTGCACAACGCTTCCAGAAAACAACTTCTATGTTGGTCATGGCCTAGATCTTTGGTCCAGGTTTAAAGTGTAGTTTGTATTTAAACAAACATAATGCTTGGCTGCAGGCGACTTCATTTGATAATGAAGGTAAAAAACATGGCATTTTGAGGGAAAATCCTGTTCATTTTGAGTTCAAGGACTTCCAAGACTTTACGCAGTTGCAGGCTGTCACTGTTGTTCAGCTAACATGATTAATGCACTGGCACAAGGAAGTACATGCAGATCCTTATGAAATATTCCTGGCTGTAGGTTACAAATTCCTGAAACACATTTTGCATTATCATTTACTGGTGCCGCACATGGTAATGGAACTTCAGACAAGTGCCTAATCACCATGATGGCCAACATGTACCGGTACGTACGTGTTCATGTACCTTCATGTACACAGTACAAGTTGGATTGGATACATGTAAACGAAGCTCATTTATAGAGTGCCCCCACCATTTACTCGGGTTACTGGTGCAAGTCCCACCCTAGTCAGTTTTTCGGTTCAAACTGTTAAACTTTCAGAATGTCTCTTGATTAAAGTTCTTTTGAAGTTTCCATCGGCCCTGAGCTAAAGTGCACCCTCACTGGTGAAAGAAAGACAGATGGTACTAAATTTTCTAACCGGGCTCTTGAACACGTTCAGCGTGCATGCAAAGACCTTTCCAGACTAAATTATTCATTGCACGCACTCAGCATGCTAGAGGGCAAACATGCATTAACATGTGCACCTATGCAGTGAATGCGTACCAAATGACTCAGTTTCATTTCAAAACATGCCCTCTTTTGTTCCAGCTCAGAGCGGATAGAGTTCGTGTGCATGAAATACATTGTGATGGTGTACATTTACATGTACCTGTAGTGTATTAATTACCAGACCTTGACCTTAAGCTTTTTTTATCTACACCATACATGTACATGTATAGATATTACAGATGTGAATTTTCACCAGTCCACTGGACACTGTTTAGCAAAACTACACATTACTTTGACTGGCTTTTTCAACTGTATTTTTTAACCATTACTGCAGCATCATGCTGCTAATTTTAAAACTTAAAGTAGAGGATTCAAAATTGTTGCAATAAATAAGAAATAACACATGCTATGAAATCCATGACATTTGTAATCTTTCATTTTATTCATCTTCATGAAGAAGATGTGTGAAAGTTTCAATTGGAAGGTTGTTTCTGTGCTAGCCCGGTGGTCAAGTTAAAGAATGTATTTTACTATCCTGCAGCAGTTTTTCCAGAATTACTAGCATATTCGAACCCGTACCTGTCTAGTGCTGAGGCCTGAATTTTACATACACTGTACATGTACATGTGCGTGTACATGTACATATTTTGCATGCGCAATCTCTTTTGAGGGCAGTAAACTGTACATACCGGAACATAGCATATTCATGTGGATTCAATTGTTTTTCTGGCTATTGCATGAATTGAAAGTATTGAACTCCGGGGACAAACTAACAGCAGAAACGTTTTAAAACTGCGGACGATTCTGTGCTAAAATGAGCATAACTCTCGAAATGGAATTTTATATTGTACATGTAAATACTGTTGTGTGGTAAGATGTAGGGAATGTCATTCAAAACCATTTTATCTTTCAATTGCCACTTGTCGCATTACATGTACCTTTACAATGTAAATAAAACTATAGAAAAAAAATCAATTTTTATTTCCTGTGATTTGTTTTTGCAGCAAATCCTCCAGGCCCAGACACAGGTAAACTCTCACTGGTTTTATTTTTCACACTTACTGTCCCTATGCCTTTCACAAATACTGCAGTTAGTCCACCTGTTTATGATACGAGTACATGTATGTACTTTAACGTATCCACCATGCAGATGAAAATAAGATTAACCAACCACATGTGGCTTACACTTAAAGGGTGGCTAGAATAGATTTTTGTGATTAAAAACCTCTAAAATGCACCTTTCTGCCACAGTTTACCTTAGTTTCAACTTCAGTTTCATTATTTCAAAGGGTACTTTAACGCCTTTTTGGTTTTAACGTTAATGAATATTTCCATATTCATGAGCAAAACTGTGATGTCATCTCAGGAAGAAGCCTTCAAGTTAAATTGGTTAGTACACAAACAGTCCTGCGCTTTTGTAGATTTTCCTGGACTCAGTTTTCTCTTCTTTGCTGATTCATTGTTGTTCATGTGCACAGCAACAAGAAAATGTCAATCCCTCTCTCAGAAATGTTTTCAGTAGGTAAATTCTGGGTTCACAATTTGAACAGAAATACTTGTGCTCTGAAGTATGTCTTCCCTAGATGACTTCACAGCAACAGCACCCTTAGTTGCATGGATAATTTTAATTGTTTAAAAACATGCATTTTTCAGTGCATTCAACCAAATAGGAGTGTGTGTTTCTTATATTGAAGAAGAGTACAAAGATGCAGAAAATTTGTTCAAAGTAAAAATTCATTGCAGCTACATTTTAAATCTTTTCCTGTAGCACAGATCTTGATTGAGATTCTTTAAATTGAAGTTGAACGGTTTAAAGAGTTGAATTGGTTAAAGGGAGTACACTCTGTTGACGTATTTAAATACCAGGAATCACTGTGGAGTACAACACCGATGCTGGGACTTTGAAAGTAACAGAGCTGAAAGTAGAGAATGGTTGCATCCAGCTGGAAGTCAAGTATGAAGGCAATGACACCTGGCAGGAATGTGGAAAGTGTATCCATGCTGATCAGACATTGAGACTCTCTGAATGGTGTGCAGCATCACAAAAGAGAAGACGACGAGCTATAGGTGACATTGAAGATGTCCGCGCTAAACTCTGCATTGATGGTTTGTGTAGTGAAGCAGCACCTGTTAAAGAAGGTAAAGGCATTGTAATTTTCACCCTTGTTTCATACTCCTAGAACTGCAAGGTAATGGTTGGGACGTTTGATCCTTATTATTATTATTTTAGGTGTTTGAATTCAGCCTCTGGTTACACACAGTGATCTTAGGCAAGGCACTTTATTCCTACATGTACGGGTAAACCAGACATGCATTAAAATTGGCTGTAAGTTGAGAATGAATGAGGGCAGTAATAGTTGTAAAAGTGCCAGGGGCAGCATACTAATCAGTTAAAATTAATAGGTTTGCATTTTCTTCTCCAAACTATTAATTTCTACTTAAAAAGTTACTGCTATGCAGTTGGACTCTGCACAAATGTCTCATGGACCAGAAAAAAACTTTTTGATAAAGTGCTATTTTTAAGCAACCGTGTAAAGACATTTGTAAAATTTTCAGACAGGTTGATGTGGAGTTGCTGTCAATATTTGATGCAGTCCTTTTAACGAAATTTTACTTGTGGTTTACTAATAGTACTTGGAAGTTACATACCAGGGGAAATAAAAGTTTTCCCCGTTACTGCTGTTGGAGAAACTAGCTGTTAGAGCCAAGAGTTCACACACAGGTGCTTATGTACATGTATGTAGTCCTTGGGCTGTCTCATTTGATGAGCTAGGAATTCCATGCATCTGTGAAAACTTGCTGCAGTCACTAGGCAGTGGCTCACACAGGCAACTATGCATCTTTCTTAGCCACAGCCATAACATAGGTTACAGCCTCATATACAAGATTAAGTAACACTGAAGTATTCTTATTTATTTCCTTCTCCATTTAGTAATCACAACCACTACACCCACCCCTGATAACAGAGGCATCATTGTTGGAGCTGTTGTGGGAGGGGTGGTACTTCTTGCCATCATTATTGCTCTAGCTACCTACCTTGTCAGAATGTCACCCAAGGACCAAAAAAGTAGAAGAAAGAAAACTACAGGTACATGTACGTTGCATATTGTAAATCCTTTTGTTTTTGCCCTCTTCCTTGGTGATAGATCTGTATACATCTTTTGATTTTCATTGCATATATGTTAACACTTCGTAAACTTGTTTGTTCATAAAGTGTTATGAAGAGCACCAAGAATATGTCTGTGGGCACCTTACTGCTGCAATAGACTTGCCTACATACGTATACATGAAATACTTGCCAGATACTAGTAGATTTCATTTTGTGATGGTTTGTAAACAAAAAACAAATTAGACATCATTAGACATTAGCTGTGTGGGAGGGAATCGTGCTGGAAGGGAGCAGAGGGATACTATACAATGTACATACATGTACATGTATATTTGTTTCTGTAAGTTGACCTTTCAGGTAGTGCTGGTTTGAGTCCCACATGGTTTTACCATGTAGTCTAGGCATGTCTCTCGGAAACACTCTCTCTGTTTTTCCTTCCAATTTTGAAACTCATACTGTCTTCATTGTCATCTGCATTATTGACATTTGGTCTTAAAACATACACGTACAGTTATTCTGATCAGAATTTCCCCACATACATGTACATGTACGTAGCATGGATGACAATAATTGATTACTTTTTATTGTGGGGCATAGTCTCGTCAAGTGTCACTGAATATTATGTTTGCATGGTACAAGTACCGGTACATGTATCTTAAACCTCTGGTCGCATTCATTACCTTAAGATTTTTGTATTTTTTTTTTCAAGTAGAGCAGTTGCTGTCTGGGTCATTCTATAAATTTGGGGGCCCAATTTTTCTCGTCCCTGTTACGTCAGTAGAGCCAATGATTTTCTGTTTCAAAAACGGGTATTTTCTGTGTCATCAAATTCTTGCTACGATTAATCAACGTACAATTCATAAAATCTGTACATTTTGCCATGTAGCACTAGCCTTGTCTTAAGGCATCTGTGTATATTCACAGACTGAATTCCCTGCATATGCAATAATCATATGTGTACATATGAACTTGCTTGCACCTTGATTTCATTGCGTGTGAATGGCCAATGTGTGTATACACAATGTACCGTGCCGCTGCGCTGTGCCAGCTGCCGTAGCCTAATTGAGGCTCGTGCACGCCGTAGTGTATTGGTACCGGCGTGAACGACCCAATCATGTGGTGGAGTGATGCAATTTAGCATGTTTCCAGCATGATTCGTTCATTAAAAGCAAGCATTTTAAAAGGTTTTGGTAGACATGTATTCGTAGTACTTTGTAGACAGTTTTCTTGACTTTTTAAGCCATTCTTAGTGGGAAATTTTACAAGTTCCGTTTCAAGCAGTGGATTCTGTTTCAAAGTGTTGATTCCACAAATTCCGTCTGTTTTCCGTGACCACAGATAATCATTTGCTCTACATCTGGCATATGATTTTTAATGATGAGAATTCATTCTTTAATTTATAAGATAGAGCAAGTACTGTAAATTAAAGAATGCTTGCTTTTAATGAACGAATAACACTGGAAACATGCTAAATTGCACCACTCCACCACATGATTGGGTTGTCCGCGCCAGTACTGATACAAAAGTGCATGAGCTTCAAGTAGGCTGTGGTAGCCAAAACAAATATAGTATGAAATCAATATCAGTGATACATGTATATACCTCATCAAAGTATACATCTCAGGTACATGTATCTGCTTTTTATTCTGAGACAATTCATACCATACAGTATATTCATAACTACATGTAATAAAGACAAAACTTTGTACCACCAGTTTGATATTTGATTGGGTACATCAAGTTTGCTTATTAAAGTTGAGGGGGTATGCTTTTTAAAAGCCAGGTTTTGAAACCATTGTAATACACTTGACTGTTATTGAGAGTTTTCTAAAGTGATTCTTAGTTATAATAATTGATGGTATTCAACAATAACTACTTACAGGTAATATTCATGGGTCCTTGTGCATATACTGTCTTCTGGTACTAGCCACTTGAAACTTTTCATGAAAAATTCTGTGCCAATCACTTCCTTTATTTAAAATTCTATAGAATTGCTTTTATGATTTAAACAGGATTTGGTGTCGCTGTACCTGTATGTTGGAAGGGCTTCTGAAAAAAAGTGCTTTTTTTAGCAGTAGTCTTGATCCAAGAGGCTAGTGATCAGTATTTGACCCTGCAATTAACAGGTTTCACCAGTCATATTTTAATGCATGGTTGAAGAGGGTTTCTTCAAATGACAATCCAGACATGTACCGGTACCTGTACAGTACATGCATTTCATGTGCAGAAATTGAAGTTGACTTCAAACAGTATTAGTCACTTAAAACTAAAAGACCTGTACACATACAATGTACATGTGTAACTTGTTGCGGTGTTGTATACACCTGGACTTGCCCCTACTGTATTTCCTGTATGAGAAAATCCAGTCACTGGTATGGAGATTGTAATGGATCTGAGACTGGACTCATTTCCTCGGCAAGACTCAAATCTAAGGTTGTGTCCAAATTACCTGGCAGGGGCCTGAGATTACGGTATGCATGAGTCTATGGTAGTGGCCTCGGCAGTTCCCACAGAGTTGCTGTAATCTCAAACCACAGTCAAGTGTTTTGAACACTGCCTATCATGTTTGCAACTTTTTTAAAAAGTTGGTTTTTACTGATAATTCCCCAAGAAGTCCTAGAGAAAAAAATGTTCTCCAAGATTTGTAAGACATTATGAGTAATTGATGGGGGTGGTTTGTATCATGACATATNGGTATTAGTGGCTGTGGACTCCTACAGGCATTAGGGGCAGATGACACTGTAAATATTGGTTGTGATCAATTATCAATTACTGGGGTAATTGATAGGACCGAACAAGACTCCTACAGGCTAAATCTTCATATATTCATGGAAAGGTTATAAAAAGCTTTTTTGTGTTTTTGTAATTCCTAATCCTCACAGATTCTTTCAGCAATGGCAGCGACATTGAACTTCAGTCACCAAGGTAATATGATGAACTATTTCCTCAAAACCTTTTTACATTTTTTCATCATCTGGATGCTCTTCCAATGCAGTCCCATATTTCTGGAAAGTGGAGTAAAGTTTACAGATTAAACATTTTGAGTTACCGGTGAATTCAATTTTGTCTTTTCAACTTAACAAAAAATAAAAGTTTGTAGGTTTGCTTGCGTTAGAATTTAATTCCTGATTTTCACTAATAGGCGTGCATTCTACATGTAAATACCAGACTCTCAGGCTTCCTGGAGTCCAAACATTTAATTTAATGTTACTATTTGTATTCTAATTATATTCTGAGACTGGATCCAACTCATACCCTTTGTACAGGAAACATCACCATCTAGCCAGGTTTGGCTAGCTGAGTAATGGGTTTGAATTGTCGGAGTGTGCCATTACAACTTCACCCTTGGCCTTCATTTCCTGTACCACAGCATTGTGTAATATGTAAATAACACGTAATGGAGTGTGTGTAGAGGTGGCTGGCAGTTGGCTTGTTTATCTGTAGCTGAAGACAAGTTTTTGATAAATGTAGAAACAGTAATCCCTCGCTGATCAAAGAAACTACATGCAATTAATCTTCATCCTACATGGATGAAGGCCTGTAGTGTTGTGTTCCTTATAGAGTCTTTTGCCTTGGAAATCAGTGAGTGGACATGGTCAAGTCAGTAGCTACTATGCTGTTAACCCATCCTTGTTCCTGCCTATCAGCTTGAAATATAATTTTATGTTTCCTTGTTATTAACTTGATAAACTTTATCTAACCTGCTCAAACGTGCCAAAACCATGGTCAAAGTTGGTGCCATACATCCTGAATTAAACTGAACGATTAATTTAATGCTTATCACATCTGGCTGCATGATTTCAGGAAAAAGAGGGTTTAGGTTTCCTGCTTAGCTTGTTTAACTGTTTAGGCTAACTGATTTGAAAAGTCAAAAGTTGTCTTTCCTGTAGTAAGATTTTGATCTTTAGCTATTGGTAACATTAATTTTGTGCAAAGGAACGTAATGACAGCAAAGGCCCCCTGGCACACTTACATGTATGTGCATATAGATTTTCGGAAGGAAGTTTACACGACCATCATGAAATCAAACCCATGCCGGTACAAAAAGGAACAGTCACATGACACTTTAGGAAACTCAGATTATTTTTCAGAAAAGACCTGACCACAGACTTACTTCCTGCCATGTGTTTGTGAATGGTTTGTTTTAATAATAAGGGTTCATCTTTTCCTGTGGTGGATTGTCAGTTTTAAAGAAAAACCTGTTTGCCAACAAGACTAGAAAAACTTTAAAAAACAACACAAAAATTCCAAGAAACATACATGTACATGTATACAGTAGTTATCGGTAATACATCTAGTTTTATTAAATTCCAACAGTATGGAGAAGTCCTGATGCAAAAGCTCAAATTCTTAATGACTCCAGAGGATCTGCAGAAGTAATAGATGTTTCATTTAAAGAAAGATATGGTTTTCAGAAAGGCAGTGTGCTAGAGATTTCACGGAAACTGTGACAGTTTTTTTTTGTCCAGATTTTCATTACTGTGACTGCACGGGTTGCTTCAAATAGTTTTCTCGGGCAAAAGCTGATTTGAATTGGCATGGAAGGGAAATAACTTGCTTTTTTGTTCTTTAGTTAAATCACATTGTTTTTAATTCAATTTCTTGATGACATTGATCACATTGATTTTCAGTAATGTGCTGGTACACATACATGTAAATATATGTACATATAGGTTATTCGATGCTGATGGTTGTAATTGGAGTTAAATCATCAGTGTGTTATTTACAACATGAGAGCCCAATGAAGTTGGTTTTCTGTCCCAGTTATTTCAAACCTTTTTTGTTCTTGATCTTTCCAGCAATGTTGCAGGACCAGAAGAGGGCAATGGCATAGCTAATGAAGGTGTGCAGAACCATGGTAAGACATTTACATCTATGTAATCTGCATTGTTCCCATGTTTTGGATTTGCAGAAATTAGTGTCAGTAGGCATGTACATGTAACATAATGATTTCTTGCTTTGTTTCCACATGAATTTTCTTATGGTACCCGGTATAAGATGGGATGCAATTCATCAAGCTTTCAGAGGAAAACACACATGTAAACAATCTTTGGTCTTGCCATTTCTGTCACAAAGTGTATTTTTTAGTTAATTGTTTCAACTTTTCAGCTTTGTCTTTTATTGATATTCTCTTCTCATGCTACTCCCTTTAAGTTCAACCTCTTTAGTCTTTTAAGGACAGACAATCACTCTACAAAATTTGGTGTTCTTTACAGACTCACAAAAATAATATGCCATGCATTCCACTTTTTACAAACACACTGACAGAAGTGGTTAACAAATCTTGTTTTCGTGCGGGTGTGTCTTTCAAACACAATAAGGTAATGCCTTGTTTATGTAATGAATGTCTCTGTTCCTGGTTTTGAAAGACTCAAATGGATGTTATAAAGGCGTATGAGTTTCCGTTTTAGTTTCTATCTTCTGGCATTAGTGCATGTGCGTGACATTCATGCAGTTTTCATACAAAGTTATTGTACATACAGTGTACATGTACTTCCTGTTTCATTTCAACTCGAGGGCTTTTTGGGGAAAAAACACCCTCTAGAGTATTTCAAATTAACATTTCAGGGCATGAGGCTCGTCAGCTTTCTATGTACGTGCATTCCTTTGAAGCTGTTCCTTAAGTTTCATCATTTCTGCCAGATTTGTTTATGGAGAAAACTAAGAGTATTTTATTCAGCTCAGCTTTTGCATTACAGTATTTATTAGGTGCTGCTTTTGTGGTGGCTTACTCTACTTGGTGTGACCATTCTATTGCTCTGTCATGAATGCTGAGTTTACTAGCTGGTGATAGGTACATGTATCGGCAGGCATAACTGCAAAGCAAGCCATTCCAAAGATGTTTCAAGGAACTATGTGGTTGTGGAACAAACATGACAAAAGTAGAAAACAAGAACTACATGTAATCAAGCAAATAAAAAACTGCAGATAATGGTACACACACTCATGTTATATTGTCTATTGCTTGGTGCAAACAACTGAAATTGATGTCTTCTCATACACATGCACATGTACATGTTGGAATTTCAATGAAAGACATTGCTGTTTATTTCCCTCCCACCTATCTGTTGTCTTCACATCCCTGGTCATATTTTTTGCATCTACGTCTTGGTATTACAGTTGTATATGCTCAGGTGAACAGAGCAAACAAGCCTACAGCGCCACTGATCACCAGGCCAGCAAGGAATATTGCAACAGGTCTGATCTCCATCCACCTTGCATCTCCTCTACTTATAATCCATCAGTATTGTAGTCAAGTCTGGGTCTGTTTCTAGGCAGAAATGGCTAAAGCTTGGTTCCATCTCTACCTCTAATTGAAGAATTATTAAAAACCTTTTTCCACGCCAGGTTGAAACATTCTGAACCTTAGAAATGATAATGCACTTTCTCTAAGTCATAGTCTGTCAAGTTTGAAGGTCTGCAAAAAGACTGAAAACAAAAGCACGACTTTCGGACCTAAGTTTCAATTTTGGAAAAAAAGTGGCTGAAAATGAGACTTGAAAGAATCCTTTGTTCCACATCAGACTTTACCTTCGATATTCATGTGTTCTTAAGGTCTTGTTCCAAGACTTGCAAAATCCAGACTGCCTGCATTGAAGTAAAGTTCAGTCACAGCATAAAATAATACTTCTAGTTGTCCACAGCCCCCCTGGACTCCTGAAGTAATCCTCTAGCCCACTTTTATCTGTTCAGCCTAAAAATTTAGATCCACGCTTCACTACAGTACTACTATGCCTTTTGTACGTAACCTTCACTTCTATGTACATAATATACGTACATCATCTTTCTGTTAATCTTGTGAGCATCATTGTTCTTAAGGATAGAAATCATTAACTAATAACCAACATTTTTAATCTCGAGATACCATATGTTACAGCACGTTTCACCTCATTCTAATAACAATCTCACATACCATTATGAACATGTGTAACCATATTATTTAAGTACATGCTCAGCATGTGTAAACGTGCATGCCGGTAACCATGGCGACCGAGACATCTTAGAATCAGAAATAGCCTCTTTTGTTTCTGGTATTACTGAGACCATATTCTGTACATGTATTTATTCATAGAGTCCACACTATCTGGGTGATTGTTTACCACAGCTGTTCTGCCCAGGCACTGCTTAATCTGATTGTTTGGTTTTGCTTTTCCAGCAGCTCAACAGCTTTCAGGTGGACTTCATCTTCTTCACTCATTAACCCAAACTCTCTGATTGCTTGCAATTATCCTACAAGTAGGAACTATCATAAATCTTCTAAGTGTCCACTGTGCACCTGCAGTGGCGCCTTATTTTGTATACATGTATTCATATAAAGTGCTAAAGCATATTTCATACTTTAAAGTATAGTATATCAAGCAAAGCCCATTTGTAAAGCCTCAAATCACTGAAAGACTGTACAGCAGCAGTTAGAAACATTGTTATTTACAAGTCACTGTCCTCCTAAGTGATTGTAGAGCCAGGGATATAAGAAAGTACCTGTAGGAAACAGGTGTTTGCAGGGGAGTGCAGGATAATGAGTGATGGAGGAGATCAATCTCTTCCCTCCAGTGTCAGCCTTCTACTCCTCTGTATTCCTTCTCTTCACTTCAGTTTTCTTTGTTATCATCTCTTTTAGGTTTCCTGAAGATGCCTGAAGTAATCTTTGATTTTTTTGTCATTTCCAAGAAAAGCTACATGTATTAGTTTAACGGTACTTTTGCAGGTGCAATTTTCTTTTCACCATTTTTTTCTCAAAGTTTTAACACAAAAAAATGATACTGAATACCTGAAAGCAATATGGGTATCCAAAACAATACTGGGTACCCAGAGTCAATGTCTGTTTGGAGACTCTTCATTTCCACTTACGTGTATATTTTCTTTCAGAAAATGAGGATAAGCCTGTCCCAGAGAAGAAAAAAAGGGGGTCTGGGTATTTGCCTTTGTCTGATGAAGGTGTGCAGAATTAAGATGCTGTTCACCAAAAATTTACGTTTACAAAAGCATAGAATCCATGAAGCAAAAGTAGTGAGTCAGTCCTAAAAGAAGTGTTCATGTACAAGTTTACATGTATCAACATTCTGTGGCATCATGGTGTCCAGAATGTTCAAGTACATGTATGTGAATGCAGCAGAAAGGCAGTGCAGAAATTTTGGCTGTTTGATTTCTGTCTTAGTTGAACTGAATGTGTTCTGATTTGTGTTTGGGGTTCAAAATAGAGACCAAACAATAGATGTAGAGGGGCCGCTGGTGTCTAGTGTGTTTTGTTTTACTGGAGGAGTTTCTTGTGTTTGTTTGTTCATTTTCTTTTATTTCAGTTTTGCAATTTTTGTCAAGCAGCTTTTCATTTGTGATTTCTATACTCAGCACAACAAATTGATAATTGCACTTGAGTTTTCTTTCCATCTGAACTAAGTTTAAAAAAAAAAAAATTGTGTCATCTTTGGGTATAGTTGAATTCATTACCTCACACTTGCTTGTTTAGACATTTCATTGATTAAGTGCTAAACGTGTCTTCACTGTTAATGTACTTAGTCAAAAGGGTTCGAATCTCACCCAAGAAAGGTTAATTTTTTTATTCCAAGTTGTGGGACACCAAAGGGTGTTCATGTACATGTATAACACCTTGTAAATCAAGTCAGTGAAGTCCAGGCGATATGTCAGCTCCTTTCCATCAGATTCAGATGACATGCTGAGTCAGTGTAACAGCTCACTGTATGCAACATGCTCAGGGTCCAACTCCAAAGCCCTTCTTAGCAGCCAGTTTTTGTGCTGAGAAAAGCTCTGTTGCTTTGAGAAAGCAATAAATACAGCCAAAACATGAAACCCTACAGAAAAGGGTCACTTATTAAAATCGGTGATGTATCAATACAAATTTCTATGCGCATGGAACCATAAGCACTGTAATATATTGCTTAAGCAGCAGTCATTGCTGTAGCATGCACAGCATTCCCTGTAAGTGTTAAGCAAAGCTTTGAATTTGAGTCCAGGCCTTGACCACTGCTTTGCATGTATCTTAAATACATTTCAGTTTTTTATGTTTATACAATGTAGAGTATGACAAGCTCTCTAGAAAGGAAAGACACCCTGTGTACCCTAACCCTGCTGTGAGAGGTGACTCCTTGCCCCCCAAGACAGGTCAGGGCAATGTTACTTTAGATTGGTGCTGAAATTTGTCAGCACATACTGAGCTTGCCACACCCATTAAAATGCTGTGTACCATCTACAGGCATTAGCTTTTTGCTCTTCTTTTCAAATTGCAGATTATTTTGTTAACTGGTACATGTATGCACAGCCATTTTGAGGTTTCTTTCTTACCAACCCTCTGAATACTTCACCTTCTTTTATATACATGACCTACGGTAAGCATTGAGAGTTAAGCATTCATCTTTTTGGATAAATACTGCAATTTGACTATTCTTTCTTTGAAACTCTTGTGGGGAACTAGATGTCACGTAGATGTCACATTTACATGTAAGGGGACCTGTTTATTCTGACCTTGTTCTGAGGGTAGTACCTTTCCTTCGTGTCTTTTAACTCACAAGGAGGAAAACCTCTTCTGACAATATGCAGATTTACAAGTACAGATTTGTCTAAGTTTGAAAGTTCATAGTCCAATTGATATGCCTACACCCATACCATATCATGCCTCAAACATTCCACATTCCACCTGCCAATTCCATTCCATTCTCAGACAGTTCTGAATTTTCCAATTAAAGTTATGTTTAGACATCCATGGAATATAGCCTTTGCAGCAAACACTACAAAAAAATTAGATTATTAATTTAAGGTTAGCAAAATGAAGTACATGTACATGTCCTCAACAGAAACTTCCAGAGAAGAGTGAAGAAACATTGTTAAAATTACATGTACTTGTCGTGACCCCATTAATTAGACTTGTAGTCCTGTCTGACCCCATTTATTAGACTTGTAGTCCTGTCAGACTCCATTAATTACTCAAAATTATCTATGTTCAGTACAGCCCAAAACTACTTTGAGATAAACTCTAAAACTCTTTTCCTACTAGATTGTCAATCCCTAGGAGTGAACTTGCCCTGAGGCCTCCCAGGCTGACATGCAAAATTTCACCTGCTATTGACTCAAATTTGTTTTTCTCAAACCATGCTTTTCAAGATCTATTTTTATCTAATTGTAAGCACTGCTCACAATGCATTCCTTGCCTGTACACACATTCCATGTCTGGGCACCTAACCGTGAAAACAAATAATTCTTCATTGTGATACGAGTGGACCTGTTTGCTTGGTGTTCTTGCGACTGTGAAACTGTTGGTGTTAACCTAAATAACATTGACCTATAAAAGAGAAAAACAGTGAAATACCGGTATGATACCCTCCCTGTACATGTACCTGGCTCAACAAGAGATTTCCAACTGTGTTACCACCCATCATACAAGGGCATTTTTCAATAAATAATAGAATCTATACAAGTTTTATTTATGTTTAACCACGATGTCAGCCACAACAAACACTGTGCTCCAAAGTACTTCATGTACATACCATCAAAACCTCTATGCAGCATTTAATGTATAAATTGTATTTGCATTAGTTTGCCATTGATAAGATGGTGCAAAGTCAATCCATATATATTTGCTTTAATGTAAGGGACCTGCCCATCACTTAGTGACCATTAAAATAGTAATTTCCATGCTTCATTTCTGCTTGACTGTATAAATGCAGATGTTTGTTTTTCTTTGTTCTTAAGATGCATTTTGTACAATATAGAATGTTACAGATTCAGGATGAAAGTTTAGATAATTTACTTTTTATTGGGAAAGCAAAGTGTTTGCAGAATCGTCCCTGAATATCACAACTGTAGGCACAAAAATTATCTTTTAAAAATGCTTTTCAGTTGTTTCTTTCCGTTTAATTCTGTTGTATGTTTGCATGATATAGCCTGCCATTATTAACATTTGAATTACGATTATGCATGATTACAGGTGCGTATGAAGAAATGAAAGTGGCTGCATCCAAGACTTGTTCTGAGAATGCTACTAACAAAGGTCTGTTGCTGACCTCAACTCAATCTGCCCCTCTCCCCGATCATTAGTAAATCACATTTCACACCCATGTTTTACTTTTTGGTGTGATGCAAGGAGGTCCAAATTGATTCTGTTCAGAGTTGTACAATGTGTGTCAGGAAGCATTTGATAAGCCCCTGTGGAGTTGACTTGAGTTTAACCTTATCACCACTGTTGTGCTTGTTTGACACAGTTAGAATTGCCCAGTGTGACCAGAAATGCAGACATATGGCAGCATTGACCTGTGTCCTTCAATAACTCAATACTCATATAAATTTGCCTTTTCATGCTTGGGTCAAAGTCTTGCTCTGACGTCATTGTTAAATTCCACATCTTTTACACCATATCAAGTTGAATATCAAATTACCGCTAGAAGGTGAAAATATAAAATCCCTTTTTTAAAAGATCATTGCGATGGTATTACCCATCAGGTTACTGGAATAACAGAGTGGTGCAGCTCTCTCTAGATTTCTACTAACAAATCCCACTGGTGGTTTTATTTACATGTACTAACAAGTCCTACTTGGCCTTATTTAATCTAAGCTCCATATTTATAACAGCCTGGTCTTCGTAACTGATTTATAACTCAAATTGGCCTAAATTTTACTCAGTCCAAGAGAATGTTGAGAAATCCTTGTCACCTGCTGAGTCTGGAATCTTTTTGGAACTTTTTTGCATTTAAGTTTTAAATATTTACAGCCTGGTCACCATAACATATTTACAAAACTAACAAAGTTTATGCTTTTTCATGCAGTCCAAGAGAATGTGGAGAAATCCTCCCCTGAAGAGACTACTAACAAAGTCACTAACAGAGGTCTGCAAGAAACCCTCTTTCACTTTTCCTTCAAAGCTAAACAAAATAAATGTTAAATGACTTGAAATGGCCTTGTTATTAAACCAGTGGCATACAAGTTTCTGTTTTATTTCCTGTGTTAATTTCTCTTACCAAAGCAGAACAGTTGTTCCCGCATGGCATGTATTGATATAGAAGGAAAGTTTCAGTTTGTCATTACAGTAGAAAAAATGAAGTTGAGTGTAGCCTTTCAAGGATTGCTATCCTGCAGTGATATTGATTTTATTAGTTCTCATTCCTCGTTATTGGTATATTAAACAACCACTTATCCTACAAATACTGCTTAGTGAATATGCTCATTCTTCAATTTGAGGATAAAATCTCAAGGAATTGAACATGTACCGTTATTTTGAATACTGTTGTATGTTAGTGGGCAGTCTGTCCAGAGACTTTTTTTTTTTGTTTATAGAAGGTGCTGTGTTCTTCATCTTTTGAGCTACTGTCTTTGTAGCAGACAGAAGCTTGTAGAAAATTTTATGATATATCCTATAACCTTTCAATAGTAATAAATGAATAATCTTTTAATTTTCTGAAGCATTTTGTAGATAATGACCATTTTGTTTTTGTTGAAGCAGACTCCAAGCCCCCAATCACCAGACCCAAACCTAAAAGCATCAAGAAGGACCAGCCACCAAGTAGGAGTGCAGGTGGGATCAACATTACTACAACAGTGAACTCTTACAGCAGAGCAACCACTGTGACCATTATCAACTAGCTTATAACTATTGCAGACTATTGCAGACCGTACTGTCAAAGATCATCTCCAATTATCTGTGATAGTCTGTGCTGTTACAACAGGCTGATCCTCCAAACCATCACACTCACAAAGACTGATTATTTATAGACCCTCGTAGATCATTTTAGATTATATCAAGAAAACTTTCACAGGAACAATCCTTAAGTTACATGCATCATCATCAGTAGCATGGCAACTGTGCTGGCTCTTATGATCATTGATGAGCAGCTTAGTCATTGAATCCTGAGAACTTTCATGTTTCATATTTTGACTTCACATGTAGCTCTTCCTTCATCCTAATTGCTTGAATCAAGTACTGACCTTCTGTATTTGATAAGTGTGATAAATGATCTGGTGGGATCAGCCTGTTACAATCATGACATCTTTATTTGAAGAACTCTTTTAAAGTCATTGCAGGTTGGCATTTTTGGGGGGTTTTGCTTTTATGAGTGACAGTAGTATTCATCGAAATCAAGGGCATGTACAGGGTTCCTGTTATTATGCAATCCTTGAGGGCAAAACTGTCAGGGAAAAAGTGCCAGGAAGAGGTGAAAAGCTTTCTTAAATTTGAGAAAATGTTTAAATGTTTATTTAAATGTTTTTTCAGTGTAAAATTTCTAAAATACATCATTGCAAAAGGATATTTCACAGCTTACCACAATTTTTCTTTTAATTCCAATGTTGGCATAAATTTTGCTGGCATCAGGATTTTCAAGGAATGTAACAGGAACTGTGGGAGCAGTTTTATTTCATTATTATGACATGAGTTTTCTTCACAGATGCATTATGATTTTTCATCAGAGCAGCTGCTTCATTTTGTTGTATTCAGCATCAAAGGATTTTCAAAAAGGCTTTCTCCAGCAGGCAGGGATCCAGGAAGAACTGATTCCAAAAGACCATGCTCTGTATTTCCCCCAATTAGCTCTCCTTAATCTGTATTCAGAATATTTTTATAATGAAACAATTCATTATAATTTCCCCTTCCCCAAAATGGATCGATTTAGCCAAGGGAGGTACATGTACCTGCCTGGACTTGCTGTCACAATGATCACCCTCCCCTTTTATCCTTCCTGGATCCACCCCTGAAATGTTACTTTATCAGCCTGTCTATAGTATATTTTCCCTATAGTATAAATGACTTTTCACACATCTCCACCTATATCGTACTTTAGACTTCAGCTGAATTGCGTCTTCGCATCATACGTACATCTTCATTTGCATTTTGTTTTGTTGGACTTCTTGGTAGCAAATACCAACACCTGTTCTTACACCAAGAGCACTTGCTCATCATCTCAAAAAACCTACTTATCAAACAACTTTCCTTCCAACAGCCTGCTGAGTTCTAAATTTTCTAAGACTCCACGTACTTTGTTTGATTTTTGGTTGTTTTGATTTTATAGCAGTGCGGCACTTCCTGTCATCAGGTCAGCAACATTTCAACATTCATCATGCGTAGCCTGCAATTCGATTGAACACAGGACATTGTGTCTTGCTGCACTGTCCATCAATCTTGATCAAATACTGGTGTATTCTGAAATTCTTTCCATGTCGATTCTGTCTGTAAATCAGTCATTTATATTTGCACATATCTGGGTTGTCTGTGTCTGTTTTCAGTGTTTGTCTGTCGCTGTATGTACATGTGTATTTTGCTGAACATTCTCCATTCCTTAGTTCTCTTTCCAACACTCCTCTATTTCTGCTAATTTGTCATTTTCAGAGACGCCAATGAATGAGTAAAGTTGCTAAGCATTTAAATTAACAAAGTTAGAACTTGCTTAGAACTTGTCAAAGTTCTTGTCAAAGCTCTGTGACACCTTGCCTAATATAATGTGCATAAATTTAAACTCGCTGACATGAGAACAGACTCCTTGCTAACGTGATTGATATGGTTTAATGAATCTGTTAAACATTCTACGTGTCTTATTAATTGAATAGCATTTTTGTTTGCAGCATATGTGCATAGAAGACAGTTTCATATGGTGGCATGGCCAGAGAGATGTTTGTTTTCACCCCAATCCTGTCCAAATTGGCCACCCATGCAAATGACACACACCCCCAATCATACAGATACAATTTAGGTTCTTTGTATGATGGAAACTCGGGGATAATGCAAAAATAGTGTGATAACAACCTGTCATTTGAATTTGAAATTAACAAGGAAATTATCACATGTACATAGCAGGTGTGGCCTTCATTTAAGAGAGAGGATATTGGCAGGTATTTAAAGCATGAGATAAAAATTCATATATTTTCTATATTTTAGAACTAAGCCAAAAAAGTGGTACCTGCCCAACCCAAGTTGTTGATTTCCCAAACCTTTCAAGTCATATCTGATTTCTAGACATGTCATGTCTAATTGTTCTTTGTATAATTTTACTTAATATTCCCTTTCATCACAACAAGTAGTCCTCCAGAAAAGGGCCTTTGATCATGCCACTTTTCTCTTTCTACACCTGGTCACAACTAACAGCTTGAAATTTCATTATGTTGCTGTAGATGAAATTCCTAAAAGGAAGGCCGAATTAGCTGGTGCTACTGAAACTACAGAAACAGGTGCGCAAACCTAAAAAGAAAAAGTGTTTGTTGCCTTAAATTGGAATAAATCTGCAGGACTCCAAATGCTGCACTTTTTTCTTGAGTTGAAGGAAATATTTTTTCAGCGTTTATTGATTCTTATTTCATAAAATGTGCCAAATGAGTATTTGGTCATTTGAATGGTTATAGATGGTCAGTTATCTTTACAGGTTTGCTTTGATTCAAGTTGAAAATTTGTGAAACCTTGGACCTTCTATTCCTTTGTCTTTCAGTCGAAATCAGCATTTTCCTGACTCTTGCTGGTTTGTAGCTTTTTTTGAAGTCCACGTTTTTTTAGTTCCTGTATTAATTATGTTCAGTTGGTATCTTGTTTGTTGAATGGATAGTTTCCCTTTCTGTTATGTGTGCATGATGGGAATATTAAATATAGACAAAAATCTCCCAGAATGCAGGGGTCATACATACATGGTAGTAACAAAGCAAGCATCAGTGTGAGTTTGTGACATCAAATCAAATTTTATGTGGTCGCACAGCAAAATTCCCATACATTTCAACTCAAGCAACTTCAGCAGTAAATGTTTTGAATGAAAACTTGCTCTGTTTTTTCATTTGCCTTAAGTATGAATCAGACCTTTGACTGCAATATGATGAGAATAGCATGACCAAATATATTGTCTGAGCGTTAGCTTGCGTGTAGATTAAGCAAAAATTATGAGGCATCAATACATAACCCACATCATGTGAAATCTGTTCTATTATTACTCATTGTCGTTTTCTCTTATGGGGGGGAATTGTTTTTTATTTGTTGAATGTAAGCATATTCTTTGTGCTCAATTTTAATTGTAAATTGCAAAATGGTAATGGTACATGTAAGTGATGTACAGATATGTTTGAGATATAATCTTTTACTTGGAAACATTTTCAGGTATTATTTTTAGAGCTGTTATTTCTCACCCACTTCAGGCTTTATTGAACAAACTCCATGTGCACTATCAGGAACTTCTTGCCCCTCGTAATTTCCTGTTTACTCAAAGTTTTGCTCTGCACTTCCTCATGAATCATGTGCGTGAGAATGTCACAAACCTTCTGTACATGGGTTCAATCTGGAAATATAGATAGGGCCTTACTACGCAGAATTTAGGTCACAGGTCATTCCAAACCTCATTTTTCCTCTACTTCTATGATAATAAATATTTTTTGTTCTTTTTCTACATCATTGCTGACCTATTTTTAATGCAGGGCTTTGTTCCGTTTTCAGTTTTACTCTGACATTCTCAAGTGACTGCTACATATGGTCATCTAACTGCTACATGTACCTCATCGGTACACTTTTGAAATTAGATTCCTCTTTCATTTTCTTTTTGACATCAAAGAGCTTTATGTATTCTAACGATGAGAAGTCACTGTATTGTCAGTTTCAGTGGAGGTACATGTATTCGTGTTTGTGCACAGAACTTGCACAAAATTGTATGATGGAAAAATTGTCTAGATATCACTCTCATTGCACCAGTATGATTTGTTTATTATTTATTTCTGGTATTGACACAGAGGATTCTTCAACTGCCCCCTAGGCACTGCCAAAAGAAACCTGTAGAGAAAAGACAATTAGCAGTTAAAGTTTTAGGGGTGGGAGGAAAACTCCAGAGGATAAATCCAGCGGGTAAATCCCTCAGAATCATTTAGGGACTGACAACTCAATCCACATGTAGACCAAGTCAGGAATCAAGGTGAAAAGTGAAGAAAGAACTAACACACCAACCTTATTCCCTATACCTTGATTTCTCTTTGTTTCTATTCATCCATTTAAGAGCCAAGGTTCCTATTCATCCATTTAAGAACCAAGGTTCCTTTCATTATCAGTAATAGTAACTGTTGACTGTTGGTAACCAATTTCAGGTTTATCAGTGACTCTCCCAGGTAATAGGGACAACACACATGAGTTGAATAGGGAAAGCAAAAACCTCGGGCAAATTTATCTCAACTTTCCTAACAAAAGAAATTGTTAAAATGTGGGAAAGCCTATACTCGTGGATGCACACTAAGCAATGTTGAACAACCATTTAGTTTACATTGTTCCAACATGTGACTGTTATTTATTCCATTTTTGTGTATGCTTCATGCATGCCACAAAGCCATGTATGCCTGCACTGGAAATGTCTCACTGTCCCTTAACAGATTAAAGAGGTGGCTGTAATCACTTCATAGCTTTGAATCCTGGGTGAATTCCTTGAAACTGGCAAGCAGGACATTCGGCCTCATAGAATTACAAATATTATATGTAGGTAACCGTAGTCAGATAATGGCATATCACAGGTGAATAATACTGTGGCATTTTGTTGGCTTAACTACTTTGTAGTTTGTGCTAAGCAGACTTGTTAATACATGTAGCTCAACAACGAGAAGCACACAGCAAGACTGAAACGTGCTTAGCAGGTTCTTGAATTACAGAACTGTGAAGGAATGATGTGTTCGAACTTGTCTCTGTCTTATTAGATGGATCGATGGCTGATGGCAAGCCAAGAACTACATCTATCAAGAGATACACCGTGGAAAGTGGAGGTCTGCTTATCTATTACCCATCTCCATCTTAGCTTACGCCACTGGGGTCTTGTCCATCTTACCTTACTCCGCTGCCATCTTCTCAATCTTAGCTGCTCCACTGTCATTTTGTCCATCTTAGCTTACTCCACTGTCATCTTGTCCATCTTAGCTTACTCCACTGCCATCTTGTCCATCTTAGCTTACTCCACTGTCATCTTGTCCATCTTAGCTTACTCCACTGTCATCTTGTCCATCTTAGCTTACTCCACTGTCATCTTGTCCATCTTAGCTTACTCCACTGTCATCTTGTCCATCTTAGCTTACTCCACTGCCATCTTGTCCATCTTAGCTTACTCCACTGCCATCTTGTCCATCTTACCTTACTCCACTGTCGTCTTGTCCATCTTACCTTACTCCACTGGGGTCTTGTCCATCTTAGCTTACTCCACTGTCATCTTGTCCATCTTAGCTTACTCCACTGCCATCTTGTCCATCTTAGCTTACTCCACTATCATCTTGTCCATCTTACCTACTCCACTGTCATCTTGTCCATCTTAGCTTACTCCACTGTCATCTTGTCCATCTTAGCTTACTCCGCTGTCATCTTGTCCATCTTAGCTTACTCCGCTGTCGTCTTGTCCATCTTAGCTTACTCCACTGTCGTCTTGTCCATCTTAGCTTACTCCACTGTCGTCTTGTCCATCTTACCTTACTCCACAGTCATCTTGTCCATCTTAGCTTACTCCACAGTCATCTTGTCCATCTTATATCTGTCTGTGATTAGCTTACAGTAGGACCTTGTGATCTTGTTGTAGAGGTACTTCTAAAGTATACGTGTACGTGTAGGTAATGATCTCCCTAGCATAAAGAGCAGTACTGTAGTTTGTCACGCCCAACCCTTTTTCTTCTGGATGAAAGCTTGGCATACTTAACATGCTTAACTTCCATGCATATCCAAGTAGTGCACATTCTTGAATGATTATATATCCTGTATAGATGCCTGATAATGAAATGATGGCTTGCATTAATGTTGCATGGCAAACCCTTTAATTCGGGGTGATATTGTGAGAAAGGCCTGCTGCACTCAATTTTGTCTTTCCAAGTACCTGTCACTAACAATTATCCAGAGATTGGTTGTTCATTCCAACTTTACTACATGTAATGTTAATTTATCTCAGAATTAAGTGTATTTTTGAAATATTAACATTAAGATGGGTTGCTGCTCTTCCAGATTTTTCCAAACATTGATTAGATAATCGTCAGCATGCTGCATGTCAGTGGTGATTATTTGTGATGTGGATAAAGTTTACTTGGAAATCTGATCAGTTTTTGTATTTAGCTGCGTTATGTCAGATGAATTAATGTAAGAATAACAGCAAACTTGTAAAGTACATTAACTCATGACACACTAATTTGATGGAAACCATTCAACGGTGCCAGTCTAGATGTTACAGAAACACCTTGATTGGAAAAATGGGAAAATGTTTTGAATTTTCAAAGCTTAGAGGAGTATTTCCGTCCCTGAAATTGGATACACCGGTACATGTACATGTATGATCAGTTAAACTTGGTCGTATCTTCTGTTAGTGCAATGTACAAATCCATTAATGGATTTCAAAATGGAGCTTTGAAGTAGTGCGTCCGTGTTTGATGTCAGTTTCAGAATTGATCATTACCTTTGTGATACTTTTCTTCTTGTCTTCAGACACCTATGCACAGGTCAACAAGAATTTGCCACCAAAACCAAAGGGAATCAATCCTCCACAAAGTAAGAACCATTCATTTCTTTAAGTCAAATGAGAGAAAGAAATGATAATCACAAGCATTTGTTATGTGAGGCAGATTACAGTCATAACTGGGTCTGAACAAGCTGGATTAAGCATTTGGCCAATTAGTTCTCTCAGCCAGTCTTGAATAAGATGATATATTTTATTAAGCCAATCCTTGCATCGCCCACTTAGACCAATTGAACAGGAACACATGTCCCCAAGTTGTCCCCAGGTTCCCTGGTTGTTCCCAGGTACTCCAGGTTGTCCCCAGGTACCCCAGGCTGTTTGCTTCGTGCTGTGTATATGCCTGTACTGAAGTATGCTCACCATCACCGGCTAGTTCGTCATTTGTAAAATCATAACTTATGTGTCCCTGCCCAGCTAAATGTATGTTTATGCCCAAAATACAGATTTCCTCTTCAGGATATTTGTATTTGCCACACAACTTGGTGTCATCATTTTAACACTCAAGAAAAAGAATCTGTTTTTAATCCCAGGCATAGATCATTTTAAGTCAGTCTCAGCCAGGTTAACCATGCTGGCTCAATACGTTGGCCACTTCACTTGTCTGACTGATAAACCAACTAACAACTACATGTAACATCTTAAGAACATGCATTAACATTTTGAGACCTCTCATTGCAACCCACTCTCATTTTGAGGCCTCTTGTTACAATCCATTCTCATTTTTCATCACTAACTTCATTCCAGACCTACCAGATGTGACTTATGCCTCAGCGAACAAGGATCAGAAGCCCAGCCTTTCACCACTTCCAGGTAATTACACTTTCCACTTCCTAATTCACCTATTTACCATGACTCAACCAGCAACATTTTGGTTCTTTTATTTTGTACCTTGCATGGCTGAATGTCAGAAGCTAAGAGCTCCCAAAAAAGCAAAAGAACAAGCCAAGCTAAAACCAGTTGGACAAAACATGATATTTGAAATTTTCCAAGTATATCCAACTTTTGCCAACTAACAAACATTTTTGTTGGATTGCAAATTGCTATGAAATTGCAGCCTGTCTGATGTGTCCAACTCGGGCCGTTCCTGCTGATTCTACTGAATCGAACCTGTGTGCTTCTACTGCAGGTGTCCCTGGGCAGGACATTTTGTTAATTATTCTTCCACCCTAAACAGGAGTAGACTACCTCAAGCTGGTATTGCTGATCTACTGATAGGTTCAAATCCAACCTGCGTAGGTTTTTGCAGGTGTTTTGGGCAAGACACTTACTCACTTATTGTTCTGAACCAGGAACAGTGTACCTCAAGCTGTTGATCCTACTACATGTAATAGTAGGTTCGAATTTTTTGGCAGGTGCTTTGGACAAAACACTTTGTCAGTTATTGTTCCACCCTAACCAGGAGTAGAGTACATTGTATCTCAAGCTGTTATTGCTGATTCTACTGATAGAAGGTTCGAATCCAGCCTGTGTGGTTCTACTGCAGGTGTCCCTGAGCAGGACATTTTGTCAGTTACCATAATTTTCTAAATTTAAGCAGCCTGGTGTATAAGCCGCAGCACACAAAAATTGGCAAATTAAGATTTGAAGGCGGCATATAAACTGCAACGTTGTCTACGCTGCACCGCGGCGCTGACGATTCGACCACGAAGATCATCATGCTGCGTGCTGAAGAGCCAATACAGCACATAGAGTACATCAGTGGTTCCACTACACATGCTATCCTAATAAAAGTATAAGGTAAAACTTGAACGAGTGTCACCATAAAACGTGAATTTTAAATCCTCAAATTTAATATTTTTTTGCAGGCTGGATGGTGGTCCTGTATGGGCCATGCATCAGCTTTTGCCCTTTTTCCAGTGGCCAGCAAAAGTTTTGGGGTCGGGGATGTACAATAAAAGCTTGGTAACTCAAAGTCAGTAAAGTGAAAAGATCGTTTTATCTCATGGGTTGACTATTTCTTGCCAAAAGAATAGGCTTTTATATTAAAAAACTACCTCTGTATCTGTTGACAACAGGACATCAGGATATCTCAAGGTATTTGTGACGCCAATCAAAAAAAAACACTGCCAAATCACTTACAAAATGAAACATCTGCCTTGAGACCTTAGTTCGAGTCATCACATTGGAACTGCTTGTGTTGCACATATGCTATACTGCATGTGGTATGACATACATGCACTTCAGGTACCACCGCGATCACGGACAATCCAATTGCTGACTCTTTCCAATGCCCATATGACCGCAGAAAGTTTTGTCATCAGAAAGCCCAAGTGAGAAAGCCTGGAAATTCTGTGGCATGTCGGGCTGAACACGTTCAGCGAAAAGACAAAATATCTGCCACAAAGGTACATCATTGAATGGGTTAACTTTTCTTAAACAGGAGAAAGAAATCTTTAGGTTGCCACAATAAAACAATCTTAGTGAAACAATTATTTGTCTGCTAAAAACACACCATGAGGTTGAATAAAAAGCGGGAAAATAATAATTAAAAATTTGGCGACAGGGCAAGTAAAGGTTAAGATTACGTACACATTTCATTTAGGTATATGTATGTATTTTGTGACTCCATGACTTGGGGATTTCTGTTAATAATGGAACTTGAAATCTGGACAACTTAATTTGTGTTTATTCTCCGAGGTTCGAATTTTCAGATGTAAACGGCGACCAACGAAAACGTGATTGCGCCACCTGCACATGGTATGCGTGGCCTGGGCACTGCGTTAGTTAATGATTTTATCCTTCAAAGTTTGCCATGTAAGCCGCCTAGTGTAAGCCACAGAGATATTTTTCAGCATGAGAATCAATGTATAAGCCGTGGCTTATATTCCAACAATTACAGTATTCTTTCACCCTAACCAGGAGAAGAGAGTACCTCAAGCTGGTATCGCTGATCTACCAATAGTAGGTTCAAATCCAACCTGTGTGGTGCTACTGCAGGTGTGCTTGGGCAGGACATTTTGTTAATAATTGTTTCACCCTTACCAGGAGTAGAGTACCTCAAGCTGGTATGACTGATTCTACTGTTACTTGTTAGTAGGTTCACATCCAACCTGTGTGGTTCTGTTGCAGGTGTCTTTGGGACGAGACACTTTATCATTTATTGTTCTTTTCTAACCAGGAGTAGGATTGTTCATGTAGCAGTATGACAGCAGGGATGTAAACACAGTGTGACATTAAAGGTTCATTAATCATATGAATTCAATAGCAAATGACTTGGTATGAAATAGCCTTGATATGTTTATGCTGACAGCATATCCCACTATGTCCCTTCTATCATGAAGGATTGTCGAAAGTCAAAATAAAATGGCTTACCGACCCCTAAACATAGGATTGAGTCTATATGTCACATACCGGTATACATGTATCTTTGACGTTTTTTGTAGATTGGAAAGGAATCGAGCTGCAGTTCAAAGTACCGTACAATTGATTAATAGTTTTAATGAAATTCAGTCATTCTGGTAACCAGTAACTCATGTAATTTCTGCAGCTGGGTCATTCCATGGGTTGGGGCACAAATTGTGAGGTTGTCCTTGTTACATGGGTAACTTTTATCACCTGTCATGACCTGTAGAGTGGGTCATTTACTCTGTAAAAATATTAAACCCCTCTTTATTCAGCCTTGCAAGATGTATAATTTGGAATTCACATGCAGGGAAATAGCTGTTCATTTTTACGGAACCCACGTAACAATGAACACCATCACAAATTGTGTCCCAACCTCATGGAATGACCCAGCTACATGTACATGTGTGAGTCATTGACTATCCATGAGCATAGTATTGTAGTTTCTATAATCCCTTTTTTTTTTCTTTCATCAGAAGACTATGGTGCAAAGAAGAAACCCAAGAAATATGTCCCACCTTCAGCAAGAGGTAAACATGATTGCTGTGCACCTTCACCTTTGAAATTTGATCACAGGGCTTCACCCTAGTCCTCAGGTGAAAGATTAACATCAGAAGCCCTTGATTTTAGATCAAGGACTTTTAGGCAAATGAAGGTTTACAAGAGCTCCATGAAGTAAGAAGTTAATGTGTTTTATTTTGAAGAGAGTGCCTTTGGAGGGAAAGTGCCTCTTGCTCAGGCAGGTTCATGCACATTTTCCACAGGACACGTCTTTGGCTGGGGGGAAATCAGAACAGGTTTTCTCAAGAAAGAAGTGGATTTTAGCCTCTCATGATCAAGGGGGTAGATTCATTAGAGATTTGTCATTTAATTTTAGGGTTGACATACTTTCTGGAACTTTGACTCTGGAGATTAGTGATAGCTCGCTCAGTTGATAGTTGAGACGGGAATGTGAAACTATACAATATTAAATCAAAGATAAGACTTACGTCATTTTGTTTTGAAAATAAAAGGCCTGCTGTAGAGCCGAAGTCAGAGGCAAAGCTAAGTTTTGATAAAGGGCTTTGGTAATTGTTTGAACATTTCTCTGTGTGATTAATTTTTTTTCAGCTGCTGAGGAGTCAGCCTATGAAGAGGTGCGAATTAATGACAATGACAATGGAAAGAGCCCCTCAGCAGAAGGTAAATTCAACTTGGGTTGTCTTTCTTTCATCACTAGCATGTTACAAAAGGTGGGATCATTGGCTGCAGAAGATATTAGAGAGCAATTCATTTTTCTTCAAGTTGTTTTGATAATTTGAGAATTCTTAGAATCAATTGACTGAGGAACCAGTGGAATGGGAACATTTTTGAAAGTGGCTTAGGTTGATGGATGGCAAAGAGCTCCTGGTAGTATGTATGGGTCTGGGTAGGGGATGCCCTCCTCCATAGGTATCATCACCAGGATCTTTTTCGGGGGCGGTACAGTGCTCAACAGCAGCATAGTGACAAACCACGGATGATGGAAGGGGTCAGTTCTAAGGTAGTGTCCAGCAAACTGGCAGATTTCCATTCCCATCTCACAAGTACATATTTCATTTGTTTTTCCTATTCCCCTTCTTAAATTTTTGTCGGGGGGTGATGGGATTTCCCCCTCATTACCTTTAGCCTTCCTCCTTCCCACCAAAACATTCAGATACAAGCCAAAAACCACAGTGCTGATGGAAGTCAAAGGAAAGTTGAGAAAGCAGAAGGTGGGAACAAGGAGGGCGGGGGGGAGACAATGGAAGACGGGATGAGAGAGAAGATGACGTGCCTCTACCTGATGGAGGAAGGAATAAGGACATATAGAATCCAAACGGGAAGCAATACAAGGCTTGGATGAGATCCTAGGTGATCTAGTTGGAAAATAATCAGTTTCTTTACATTTCCATCATTTAGGTGATGGTAACACTTACGATGGTGTTGGGGCTCAACAGGACACAGGTGGAAGAACTGTAAGTTTCTTTTTTTTAGAATTTCTTTTTTAATAAATGTAAAAGGAAACTTGTGCATGTGTTTCACATGGACAATCAACATGTGATTTTGCTCTCTGTACATGCAAAGCATCAAATTTCATTTCATTACGCTGTCATAGGATGTCGGTTATCAAGCATCAGACTGTTTGTTTTTCAAGCACCAACAGGACTTTACGACGTCTGTAAACAGGAATTCTTTGGAGATAGTTTGTTGAATTTGTTTAGTGATAAGAGTACAAAGTCCTATTAGGATGGAATGTAATCTATGTGAAATTGACAGATGGTTGCATCAGAACAAATGGTGTTAACAACTCAGGGAAAAACCCAAGGGGCAGTTCATTGTTGACAAATGTTGCCTCCTGGCGCTTTCATAATAAAAGTCTGTCTTTTAGCGGGGAAATACTCACTGTAGAAACCGTTGTTTACTTACTGTGATCAATTCAGTGATCATGCTCAGATCGTTCCACTTGAAGTCTTACGTGTCTCAAAGGCTTTTCGGAATACTGTGGGAAAAGACAAGTTTCAAACCTCCATACAAGGCAGGCATGCACCATTTGTCGAGATCAGCGAGTTTGTTTTGTTGGCCCTTTACTTCCTTTATATGGAACAAGTAATTGTAAAGTACCATACGTGTTGTTGTGTACCTAGGAATTTCCCCATTCGTTTTCCTGGTTTCATAATCGCATGCAAGCTTGAAAAGCAATTAACCCCAAAGATATATCAGATAGGATTTTATTACTGATTCAACACAACTTGAAATATTTAGTTTGAAGAGACATGCAGCTTGTGTACAAACCAAAAGGAAATGATTTTGAGCCCCAAAGTTCATGGCAACAGCTCCGGGGGGGGGGGGATTTTTTTCTATCTGCCTTGAACCCGGATGTGTCAACAAAGTGGTTCTTCATAAGCCAGTACAGGTTTCTGTTTGCATAAGATAAAAAGCAGATACAGTCATGCCTTCTTAGTGGTGGCCGTGAAGTGAGACCTCATGTGGCAATAAAATGCCAATCTCCAAGAACTAAGCGGCAAAAGCAAGTAAATGCAAAATTGATAACAGGTCTCAATCTTTTATAGAAACTGCTCTTTAGAAGGCGCTGCCATAACCATCAGGCATATTGCAAAGGTTCAAAGTTATTGACATAGACTATAAACATGATATAAAGTTTATGTTTTTGCTCGTTTCAGGTGACTGCGTGGAAAATAGATTTTAAAATTGAACTGCTTTATTTTGAGATTAGTTTAAGTTGGTCCTTAAATATTACGTTTCTATAAAATTATTACACCCCTCCAAAAAATGAATATTAAGAAACAAAATTAATTGGGTGCCAAACAGGCCTTAGTACTGGGTAAAATATATTTAATGATGTTCGCACCATTACAAAATACAGTTGACATCAATCCTTTTTATAAGAGAAAGCGTTTTCTGTGTTAATGGATTGAGGTGATTCTAGATGGATACTAATCGTAATGGGTACTGAAGATGAAGATCTGTCTTTCTGTGTTCTTGTAACCTGGTATTTTAGTTGTTTTTTGGTTTTTGTTTTCAGGCCAATGATGATGGACTGATTTATGTGGAGGTGGGTCACGCTAGAGTACATCCTCCTGATCAACCACCAATCCAGACTGAGCCGTCAACGGAATATGCTTCACTGGATTTCTCGCACATGTCGAAAAAAGAAGACAAATCCTAGAAAGCTGTTTGCAGTTATACATGTTTGTTATGTCATTTAGAATTTTGTGTCCAAGTGCCTTTATGATCATGTATTGATGGATGCCTGAACAGAATAATTTGAGATGTACATGGATAAATGAAGACAATTATATTTCTGAAAGTTGAATTGCCAGCAATTAGAAGCAGGATGTTATGGTTTCCAGTCCCACCAGGGCAATCCTGAGCAGGATTCTAATTGGTTGGTGAAAATAGAGCAGAATGCTGGTTTATGAAATCTCCTGAATGTGTGTTGTACTCAGCTGGGGGTTTTTTTCTGTTGATTTTACTTTAAGCATTTGTGTGTTTTAAGTTCATGAAAGTATTTTCCAGCAACCAAGACCTAAAATGCATTTGTGTCATCCGTCATCAAATAATATGGCAGGCTCATACTTAACATGACTTCAGAACGCATTTAGTGCAGAATCCACGAAATAAGAAAGTTGTGTTTCATTATTGTAAGTTCACAGCATGGTTACCAGTATTTGCTAACATGCTACAGATTTGGGTTTGTATTTTCCAAGATGCCACAGATTTGGGTTTGTATTAGCTTTTGCTCTGAGTTGTGAATCAGCTGTTAAGATATGGATGGGGTATGTTTGTAACAAAGAAAATAAATACATGAAGGTTAAGTCTTGATCTTCAATGTAAGTTACTAAATTCGAACAATTTGTCAAATTCATCTTCAGCTGTGCCTGGGGCTTGAGGCTTTGGGTTCATTAATTTGATAGAAAACATGAGATTGAGTTTTGTGAGGCCAGAGTTTGGAATCTTTCTTATGCATTCAATATTCAGCATTTGAATGCTAATTTTGGACCTCGGGAAGCTGAAGATGAAAGAGATTTGGTTTTGAGCCCACTGTAGGCCGATCTTCCAGCACTCAAGTCTTACAGAGAGCCATTACCTTTGTATTTGGTTATTTGCTTTAGTGCAGTCATTTATCCAAGACATTCCTAGGCTCAACTGTTTAGTCTGTTTTTTAAATGTTATGCACTGCTGTTTCAAAACAAAACAAAATTAAAAACTTGTATCACTGTAATCATGATTTTAATTGCTATAATTTGAAAATATGCAAAAAATATATAATTTAGGCAGATTTTTACGAATACAAGTATTAGCTTTATTTCTGTACATACGTTGGAGGTAGTTGGAAGGAGTGCATTGTGTTGGTCCAAATGTCGCGCAGTAATTGGAATGAATGTCAAGATATTGAATCCTGTTGTATGTACCAGCATGTCTTGGAGACACACTGTTTGGGAGTGCAGACTTTGTTTAGATGGTATAGGATTCAGAGAATATCTTTTATGATTTGTGTTTCGTATCGTGCCTTCCATTTATTTGAAGGAGTTCTTTTTTATTTTGTATTTTGATGATGGTGATATGTGATAAAATGCTGGTATCCATCAACCCTGACAGCAGTAGACAGCGGAAATCATTTCTGATCAATTGTTTGACTATTTTGTCTGTCTTTTGAACATTTAAGCCATTTTTTTGTGTTAATTGTTCCATATCTCGCCTGTAAGCTGTATTTATGTGATTAATAAGGACGGATTATTATACTTCTGCACAGTATGAGCAAAGCAATGACTAAGGCATTAAGAAATCAAAGTTGATAACCAGTACTACATGTACTTCAAATTGCCAAATTGTAAAAAGTACTGATTGTTATATTTGTAATATGAAGAATGCAAAGTTTTCTAATGTATATTTTTTCTACAATTTGCCTGCGGCTAGTTAGTGGTTAATGGTTTTAACTTCCCATTGATATTAATTTTTTTTTAGATGATCAATACGTCTATTTTAAAAAATCAAGTTTATCTGCATGTGGTTAGCTTCTCTAGATCAAAGGAAATTGCTGTACATTTCCCCTTTTAAAGGTTGTTACAGCCCAAGGCAATTTTAATGATGTACGTGTATATATAGCGGAAACAATGTAGAACATTTTTTGATGATGTAGGCTTTGCATTTCTTTATTTTTGAAATTCCATTGGTTTGGTTTACTCTGTATGCATATTTTTGCCTATATTTGATCATCAATACGCAGTACATTGATACATGTATAAGACGTTTATGTGTTTTCATACTTTTCTTCAGTGGAGGAAAATTGAAGTTCTTATAGAGTGAAGCATATTGAAAGTGCACATTTTAAACATTGAAAATTGTCCAAGCTGTTACATGCAAGTAATAGCATTGTTGTGTAAATTAGGGAAGACATTGTTCAGTTTTTAGGTTTTCATGTTCATTTTTTGGACCATACTTGCTCCTTGAAAATATTCCTGAGAAAAAGTTGCTTGTTGGCTTATTGCCATGAACATATACTTACACAGTTGTAATGTGCCTATGAAATGGAACTTTATTGCAGCAAAATAAAAATAATTCCAGCAAGTTTGTTGAACACAAATCATAATTACAACATAACATAATTACCAGGGGTGACATCACAGTGATTTTTATGAATATTCAAATTTCATAATGTAAACACCAAAAAGTCTCCAAAAAGATTCAAATCCCAAAACAAAAATATAAAATAAGATTAATTGATACACAGACGTGCAATTTCAAAGGTTTTAAAATCATATTGCATGGTCCCTTTCAGTTTATGCAGTCGTTTAAAATTTCATTTTTATACATATAATCAAGATGTGTTTTATTATCAAAAAGAAAATATTAGACAGTATAAGTGCTTGGATGTCCACCTTACTACTAGAAATCAGCTCATTTTAAACTCCTTTTAGTGAAATTGTTATATTTAAGAAGGAAGTCCAGTGTTACTTCACATGCCCTGTGAGCCTTTTTGATTTGTTTATACACAGATTGAAGTGGACCCGGTTTACTGCAGTGTTGGATTGCTGTTGATCCTTGAAAATGTTTCTTAGTGTTTAGATGAAGGGGGATCAACACTTTTCCACATTTTCATTTCTGTTAAATTCACATGTATTTGGTATCATATTGTAATGATTGTAATAATCAGTACTTGCATCAATTTAAAAAGCATTCCAGTATTTTATTTAAATAGGGGTTTTATTTTTGATGAAAGTCGCCGGTTGCACAATCTTATTGGTCGAATGTTTTGGGATGTACAAAGGTTTTGATTGGTCACCGGACATCAATGGCTTCTGGGTTGCCTGGTTTCTTGTTGACATTTATCTCTTTTGTCTTTTGTGTCAACAAACATAGTTTGATGTTAAAACGGAAACTTGAGAGAACAGAGGGTTTGTACGGAAGGGTTTTGAAAAGGAGAACCGATTATTACAGCGTATGAAATGACAACAATGAATTTAATCCCGGTGCACAAATTTACAAAATGAATAGTTTCATTATTTGAATGAGAAACATGCTTGCGTGCGACCTTTGTACTTATTAACCGGAGTTTAATTTGTACCTTAATAATTATATCGAGCCTTGCCCAAAAGTCACGGTAATGGCTGGAAATCACGTGACCTGAGTTTGGAAGCTACTGGATTGTGGTTCAGCTCAGCCACCTAGTCCTCGCCAAGTATCTCCAATAGTCATTTTCGTTATTTCCAGTCATAGCCAGTGGGATCGGGCACAGCCTTGCCTTGTGCGTAAGGAAAATGTTTCAAGGGTGTGTTGCTAGCTACTTTCCATAGGGTAAGCCTACACCGACCACAGCGCAGGCCCACACCGACTACGTGTATTTGAAGGTTATGTTACCTCTGACTGAATTATTATTTTGTATACGGTTTGACAATTGGAGGGAAGCTGTGTCTGCAGAAGTGATAGTGAGCTCGTTATAGTTGGCAGTGTTAAGCTTTACACGTTTTATTACTCGGAATGTACGTTTCACAGCAGAAAAAGCCACTTTTTGTGTTTTTCATAGAGAGCAATGCTTCAATAAATCGGCTTCAATATAATTCAAACTGTCTGGATACCCGTTTGTCATTTTTGTCACAAACTTAAAGGAAGCCACCCTTAAGATGGAACGGCATTCCCTCCGTTACCATCTCCGATTTGGTGGTATCCCCAAAACCAGATCCAAGGATCCTGATTACCCCTATAACGAGGTGAAAAAAAGATTCTTGCCGACAAATTCGGAATGCCCGACGCCGAAATTGAAAACGCCCACAGAACTGGTCGTAAGCCTGATACCTCCGTCGACAAAGCCGGACATAACTTGGCTACGTTTATCTATCGTCCAGAACTACAAACTGTCTGGTCCCATGTCTTTGTCATAAGAGATCTCCCGTCAAAAGATGTCAGGACCAAAAGATTTCTCAGTGACATCATGAAGCGCGCCATCTTCAAGCAAGGCAACGTGTACATCAAGGGGGTGAAATATGTCCCACCCCCATGAAAACCGGTGAATCGCTCAATACATAAATCTCAGCTTGGATTAATCATGTCATGGCTATGGGGTGATGATTTTCTTTATACTTTTTTTCCCGAAAGGACTTAAATAAGTTCTTTATTTCTAAGAGTTCTGTTGCATTCTTAAATTGACCGCACTCGCACATGTGTAAGGTGTTTTCCTCACACTGATTACTTAGGCCATCCCTGTTAATGGTCATTCCATTCCTGTTATATGTTATCTGGTTTTTGTTATTGGTATTTGTATATGTAAATAAATTGTTCTGTTATTAATGCCTGTTTCCATGTAGTGTATGTTGTAACCCTGAAAGAACAAACCGAACTTGGAATTTTCTGTGATTCCTGTAAACTGTGGACCCACCTTAAAAATGTGCCAACCTTGATATTATTGACTATTTTAACTTAACACATAGTAATGATAATTGGTTTTGCCCTGTCTGCCTTAATAATATTTTCCCTTTTAATTCCTTGGATTCTGAGGAATTTGCGGCTGCAAATTTAGTCTCGGACTCACATATTCACCAATTTACTAACGTAGAAAATCTAGTTATTCCCTATCTTAACTCTCTTGAACTGCCTCTTATCACTGACCCAGATAATCCTTATCAAATTTTAAATCGTTCTATACTATACTATTACTATACTATGTCATACTATTCATATGACAAATGTACCAAATGTACCAAATGATACGAAAGTTGCTCGTGTCACTTTTTCAAACATTCTTGAACGAATAATTCACAACCGTATAATGGACTTTCTATTTGAACACGGCATATTTTCTGTCTCTCAAAGTTAGTAAATGATATATGTGTCTCCTTCAGCTTGGGATCCTCATGCACCAGTTAAACACTAAAAAAAATTACCTAAATCTATCTGTTCTATATTTATAAAAATGAAGAAGTGCACCATCATTTCACCAGACAGCACATGAAACTTCATCATTCTTTTGCTTGTACCACTACACAAATACATTCAAGCAATAAAGAATCAAGGGAACCTACAAACACTCAAGCGTAAATATAAAGCTAAACTACTAAGTGGGTATTCAAATTCTATTTAACAGCATTTAAATTTTTGGGCCTTACAGGGTTACAAGACGGTGTTAACGTGTCCTACTGTCTTCTTAATTGTTTAATTGTATCATAATTATGGTATTGTTCGTAATATTGTGTATTGTTCCTAATGGGATCCCTACTCGACAAGCACTGCTTCTATAGGATCCATCCACAACCATGTTCCTTCTTGTCATACATTTACTGTATATAATAAGGTAGGTGAACGAATGAACGAACGAACGAAATCAATCAATCAATTAATTAATTTAAGGCCAACACTTGCGTAGGCCGGGGAAGGGAAAATGTGTTTTCGGGAAAAGGCAAAGTTCAATGAACTTCAAATTTAAGGATATTGGGATCCAGGGTGCCTTTATTTTGTCAGGGGTCTACGACTCTACGTCCAAAAGTGAGAAGACCCCCTATAAAGCATGTTAAACTCATTCTGCGTGTACGATATGGGGGGGGTGATGGCTTCACCTTCGGCAACAACTACAGTCAGTTCTCGTTATACGAATTATTTTAAGGACTCTGTTCTAAAACAAGAGAACAATGAAAACTACCAATTCCAAATTTGAGATTCTGCGAGTTTGCTCTTTACAGCAGTAATTTGCTGTAACAGTGTTCTTTATAGTCAAGAGTTGACTGTACCTTTTGTGCGAACAAATTCTGGACCTCCCCGAGGAACAAGGAGCCCTTGGATCTATCCCCTCTTGCGCTCTGATTGGCTGCAAAGTATTGCCGTTTAATTCCCTGCCCTAAATTAAATCGAGGAATAACTACGATGCGTTTGCCAACATTTCAGTTCACCACTGATGGAAATTTCTGTTCCCATTCTTGAAATTGCCAGCATTACGCATAGTTCTTATTATATCACTGTATGAATTTGATGCAGAATTTTCTTTAAGTTGCGTTTCAGTTGCGTTGATGTAGATGTTGATATCAACTTATCAATTACATGTACTTGTGTTACACTCCAGGTGACCGGTACAAGTCACCGTGAGGGTGCACATTAAAATTATGACTCCAAACTGTAAAAGAAGGAAACAGGCAGGCACTTGTAGGACATGTGTTGGGGTCGATGTTACTTCAACAAAGCATGGAGTCAGAGTCTAAACTTAAATACATTATCTGTTACTTACTACTAATAAATCTAATCCTAGAGATTACCAAAAATCGATACCACACAAACCGTGGTCCCAGTATCGAGCATTCAGTATCGATTCTTCAGTATCGATTCTTTACACGAAACTATAACTGTCCATACTATAACCAGAAACATGACCACATTGGGTTCCAGTCCAAATCTATCAGTTGGTCAATTACGCTACAGCATGCTCTGTACTGGATTCGCGTTTCGACCTGTTACACTCCACTCAAATTAGCATGGCCAAAGGGCCTAATTCGGATCTACCACACGCCTGAAAGAGTTCGCAGCAGCAAATACGCAATGAATTCACTCCCCAGTGGGCCTAGTTATTAAAAGTTAGAAAAATCAAAGTGCGGGGGGGGGCATGTTCTTGAGATAAACAATGTGCACCTATTTCAGGCCCCTACACATGTATTCCTTCCCCATAGACACAGCAAACGTGTAGAGCTTGCGAGCAAGGGTGGGCTGATGACGGTAATTATTATGCAGGCAGTACACTGCCTGCATACTAGTACCGAGCCGTATGTCGAGATTAGCGCCCTCAACGTTTACTGGTGGGATCTCAGTAACTTTTCGGTTGGAGGACTTGAATGAAGTTTAATGCCACTTTGTAACTTTGGGTTCGTCTATGCAATGACTGCAGCGTACTTATAATATTTTGAACATTCAATGTGTGATGATCACGAAAAAACTCCAACTTTTAGGTTTTCAGTTTTACAAGAATCTGCCTTCTTGGTATATATGGAATCATGTTCTGGCTGAAGATTTTTTTCCAAGGAATGAAATTTATAGCAGAAACGAGTGCTTTCAAGCCGCCGTTTGAAAAACATTACCAGTCATCCTAAGTCGGCGTCGATGCGTCACATTGCAAGTTCGCGTCTTGTTTGTGTGCAATGCCTTTCCTAGGTAAATCAACATTGCCTACATGTTCATGTGGGTTAGTGCCGTAGGCCTAGTGGTGAATTCTTCGGCATTTTTAAAATTGTTTACAAACCGTTGGAATGATGGATTGGAAGGAGATTCAGGTTCTGTTTTACCTAAGCACATTGTCACTAAGTGGTAAGTTGCTACCAGGCTTGACATTGGCAGTATAAGAACAGTTTGTTAAGGCGAAACAAATGACTTCCTCGGAAGTACCTTTTTTGGAAATTGTACCCATCGGTTTTGTTTTCAATTTGAAGAAGGGTGTGTCCGTTTTGGAAAACCCAGCTCATATCTGGAGGCCTGCTGGTAGAATCGCACGTAGGTTTGGTAGGAACGTTTCTACTTTAATACCCTTACCAAACATGCCAAAGTGAGTTTGGAAAAGCAAAATCTTCGAAAATAACCATCCAGTTGTGACAACCTCAAAAGATTTTCATACAACTTCAACTAATTTTACAGGGTTGATAGGCCCAGGCCTGCATGTAGTTCCGGTGTCCTGTGTTACCAACATGCAGATGTTTTTAGCATTGCATGCAGTATGGTGACTCAAAGTATTTATGGGTACACCTACTTTCAGGCAAAAACACATGTATTTACTAGTTTTACTGAAATACCTGAATACTTGATTATGTACATCTGGAAATGACAGATTGTACCAAGCATGTACATGTATAATTCTGAACAAAACTGGATAAGTCTACATGTAGCCTAGTTGTTTTCAAAGATTTTTGTGTTTCTGACCGATTCTGGTGGGGAAAATTTATGTCAACTTTTTATCCTAGTAGTGGCAGATGTTACAATCCAACCTCTGAATGACCAACGTGTCAACAAGGGAGACACTGTTGTACTAGACTGTGTGTTACAAAACATCGGCAACCCAAATGACGTACTCCTCTTCTGGTATCATGATGGGAAGGCAGTAGCGGTCAACACGAGGTTAGCTGTTGATAATCCCAACTACCAGCTGGATACCAGCGTAGCTGGTCACTGGAAGCTGACGATTCAACAAGCACAGATTGAGGACCAGGGAACATGGCAGTGTCGGGTGCAACTACCAAATGATGTGTTCCAGGAAATGGCACTTGTGGTACTTGGTAAGTTTATCAATTATCAATTAATCCAAATTCTGCCAGATGTATAAAAATCCATCAAGTTGTTTTGAAGAATTTAAAAGATCAAGGAAGAGAGTGCCTGTTGATGTGATTCTTCTTAGACTGCTGCTGATTTGTAAAGATTCCTGGAGGGTCTTGGTGATAATTCTACAGGAGTTGAATTTATTACAAAAAAGTCTTTCAATTAATACTTTGAGGCATTTACACGTAATTACTTTGCAGTGCGATACCATTTTGACAACTCTTCAGTTGATATACATGTACAGGGATCCGTGTACACCGGCATTCATGCGGTATTTGTGCAAGCGATACATTCAATTTATACTGTACAGTACATGTACCTGTGTTTTTTGCATGACATTAATTTGACAGTGCATGTCTGTTGTTCTTATTTTGAAGCCATGTTTTTCATCACAGGTCGATATAGTTTATCCAAACACTGACTCATATTTGTAAATCCTGGTCTGATGTACTTTGCTTCATTTCAGCGCCACCTGTCATCATGTCAGTGACTCCTGACATGTCTCCAATGCCAGGTTCCACCGTTACACTGTGGTGTAATGCCACAGGTAGTCCAGAACCATCAGTGACTTGGACTCGTCAGAGACCTGCTGGTCACTTGCCGTCTGGTGTAGAGTATGTGACAGGAAATCCATTGGTTCTTAATGACATCACTAATGATTGGAGGGGGCTGTATCAATGTTTTGTAACTAACGGCATTGGACAAGGAGCTGTCACTGCACCTGTCTTCTTGCAAATGGAATGTGAGTGTACATGCACCTGTAGGCGTACATGATTATTCATGTTTGGTGTTTAATGGCGCCATGAAATTGGACTGCACATTGATAGCCACCAGTGGATTTTTGCGCAGGTTTTGCAATACAAGACAAGATTCATTTAGGGATCTAATGGATTAAACATCGATTAAAATTACAGTACATGTACACAGAATTACAATAGAACAATGGAAAAGAGAAAAAGGTACATGTATGTACATTTAACTGCAAGGCACGTACTTACATGTAAGAAATTTGTTGTGCTTCTTGTAGATGTTGCAAGTACTATGGCCTTTTTTCAGACCCAACCACCCTTTAGCATTTCCAATATTAATCATCAGGCATAAGTTCACATACATGTTCACACTTACTCTACTCCAATGCACCTGTTAATTTTACTTTGTACCTGTACGTACCTGTAGATTTCCCTGTGGTCAAGGCTAAGAGTGGACTAGTTGCTGCCCCAATTGGAAACTCTGCCCACCTGCGTTGCATTTGTGAATCATTCCCAGCTGTGAGAAGCATCGACAATGTCAAGTGGTTCAAAAATGACCGTCTTGTGGAGTGAGTACAATGTGCAGTTATTAAGGAGGGTGAGATGCACGTATTACGTAAATGTGAACGTGACAGTTTTTTATTGTGCACGGGTGGGCAGTTGTCAAATGCTTGTTTGAACGTTTAGATGTGTGTCCTGCACAAAATGTACGTCTTCCAGTGAACGCCTAAATAAAAGGACAAATAATCAATCGCATCCAGCAGATCTGTTAATGAAAAGTGTAACTGGTCATTGTAAACCAAGCGTGAACAAATCCCAGTTTCATAACCCTTGCATTTTCCAAAAATGTCCATTTCATATCAGCGAATGTTCAAATGCCTAATTTTAAATCTCTCGAAAAAGTTGCAGTTTCTCACGTTTTGCACATGAACTTCCCATGTTTCACGTATTGAATCAGTCTGTGCAAACTACCCATACGTAAGAGAAGATACGCATGAAGCAATGATGCCAGCAAGACTGGCATTCACGTTGGCATTCACGTAGAAAATGCAACTAAACTTCTCTATTATGCTTCAGTAGATTTTCTTTGTACCAGTGTTCTAGCTAGGATTGTTTTAGTGCCAGGTAAATATTTGGATTACCAAGCATTGCAAGTGCAGTGATCGGAGCTCTTGTAGCCCATAGCTGGGTTTTTAGGAAAATCCCAGAAGGGATTTCCCCCACCTCATCATGAAGGCATGTTCACAATAATGCTTTTGCAAACAGCAACTGATTCGATACAAAGAAAATGAGAAATATATTTCTTACTCGTACGTCTTTACTTGCTTGTTTAAAATTGCAAACTAGGGCAAAACTGTGACTTTGTAAGCTTGAAATATCATCAAAATTGGTACTTTTTAGCAATGTTTCAGTTCATTTTTTAGAAAATCCGTGCTGGGCGGAACAGCCAATTTGAAGCCAAGAGCAGGGCAGAAATTTTCAGTGCCGCCCACCGGGGCTAGAACAATGCTTTGTCCATGTACTTGTTAAAATTGTACTGGTTAGCTTGAATGTCCGTAGCCAAATAAACTTTGACCTTTGTGGACTCCCTACCTAAGCTGGTTTGTGCTTAGATTGTATTGGGCCATGTACATGTACATACATGTAGCTGTTCAAGTTTTTTGGGTATGTATAAGACTTTGCTGTCAAGTCTTTGGTTTCCCAGGGAAACCGTCTCTTTGAATTGCTATTCATTTGTCCTTTTTGTGTGGTTGGTGATTAACGCTGACATTTTGCTATCGGTGTCATCAGTGCTACAAGCTGAGAAATTATATCTTGATAGGCAAGTCTGTATATTCTAGATTATTAAATTAACATCAAGAGGAAACTTTAAAAGCTTTCAGCATTTAATTCCAAGTATTTCAAATCTTACAAACATGTACATTTGACGCTTGCAGTGTTGGTCATGCAATGTTCTAATCTTTGTACTGTATCAGTGTAAATGATGGATATCAGATGAGTGTTGAACTTGATTTGGAGATGGATCCCTACAGAGAGACTTCTGTTGCTACGCTGATTGTAACTTCAGTCACCACTGAATCTCTTGGTACATACACCTGTCGCTTCAATAACATACTGGGATCAGCAGAGGCTAATATGAAACTTGAAGGTAAGACTTTATTTACCCCTAATGATTATAGCTGATTCAAGACTATCTGTAAATAATATACATGTTTATGAATCCAGTTCTCTTGTATTAACGTGACTCTGCTTGACTCCCCTTCAGAGCTGAGCTAAACTTAGGCATTATTCCAAAATTGGATAAGTGTACAACCAAAATGTCATACCTCTGTCTTGGATACTGTCTGTTCATTGGCCCAGAATGATCACATGACAGGGAGATATATCCACATACATGTATCATCCTCACCGTGTGTCACATCTCTTTCTGACGATAGCACGTGCGTGCACACGAGACAGAAGAGCTTCGGGAAGTTCAAGAGACACCGTTGTTGCTCATTTAGTCAGATTTGCATGGCACCCATGATACTTTTTGTGCATACATGTAGGTTACCAGGGAATTTGATCAATGGTCGCACTCAAATTTATAATAGATTCGTTCCCGTCCCCGCAGCATATCAGGTAATGCAGGGACCGCTAACCAGACTACATGACATGTGAACTTGTACTCACTGGTACCCGCACTTCTTTTACATTAAAGTTTATGCAATTAAAGAAGGCGAGGGAACAGTGAATTCTCAGACAATATCGTTTACATCTGTCATGTGAATTATACTGTATGACAGTAGGCCTGTTGTTTTCTGAACTTCTGAAATTTAAGCTCATTTCTTTGGATAAATTCCTCAGCCTCAATAAAATTAAGACAGAGGTATGACAAAACAATCTTGTCAGCAATTGTTGACCGCTGTGATGTGGGATATGACGTTGTGAACACCCTTAGGGCTCTATTCGTCCCTCGGGTGTTAAAAAATCTTGTCAGCAATTGTTGACCGCTGTGATGTGAGATATGACGTTGTGAACACTCTTAGGGCGCTATTCGTCCCTCGGGTGTTAAAAAATCATGTCAGCAGTCAACAATTGTTCAATCTTAAATTGTAGGCATGAAATTTACTTGAGACCAGAATACAAAAACAATCAACAAGTCTGGACTTGGTTCAACGTATGTCTGATTTCGAACTAGACTTGTTTCTGGAATCTAACATAGTTCGCTTTTGAGATGTACAGATGAAAGTGTGCTGGAATCCATAGCGAAATCCTTTTCTCTTGTGAATTTGTACATGTATGCCATGCCCTTTTTTGTAGACACAGACATAACTGTATTGTAAGTCTGCGTACCATTTTTTAGTATAAAACATTTCCATTCATGACTATTTTGTGTTGTTTCTTTTTCCTTTCATCGTCTGTTTCCATGGCAACCAGAGGGCAAGCAGATTGACCCAGGTATGTATTTTATCAATTTACTAATTTACTTGTACACTCATTGTTGAGACATTTTTACTGTTCTGTTGTTCCACCAACAGCTAAGCAATGAAAGAAGACACTGATAAAAAAACTGTATACCATTATACAAAGCTTGTTTCTTTAAGTTGTGGAATGAATATACATGTACATGTAGACATGTGTTATCTGATGATTGGAACCGTCCTTTTGTTAAAGGCACTTGAGTTGCTTGATTGATCTCTGAAATGAGGCATCCTCTGTTGAGTAATAATATGACAAGCGCTTGAGTTGCTTGATTGATTTCTGAAATGAGACATCCTCTGTCTTTTGCCACAGACACTGGTGCATCAAGGAGCATGGCCTCAACTCTCAAGTTTGCCATGGCAACCAGTATGGCCACTGTTGCCGTGGCAAAAATTCTGATGAAGTAAAGAAGAAACAGGGTTGCCAAGGTAACAGGGTGTGTGGTAAGAATGAATAAAGGTACTTTAAAGAGGTAAGCAATATTTGTATACGCATCATGCATTTACACAGTACGAAATCATTTGACGTTTTAGAGAATAAGATGGATGATATATGCTGTATAACAGAGCTGGTTACATTAGAAAGGGTATTTTTACCTGGTTGTTATAGGGTACTGGGCTCTTTTTCATTTTGGGTGCTTTGGTGTGAAATCCGATTCAAATCATAATTCCTAGCATTTGGAAAAGTGTTGATCTGTGGGAGAGAGACTTACACAGGTTTCCACAACTCACCAGTCACATGAGAATGAACGATAGCCACAAGCATGGTTCCTGCCCCCTCTCCCCCCATGACGTCATGTGACAAAACATCGGGTAGACATCATTCACGTGTAATGTCAGAATGTTGGGAGGACTTTCGCTGTCCACATGATGTCTTCCTGTGTTGTACAGTATGTAGGTGTTACTGTTCAATTTTGTGTAACCTAATGTGCGGTTCATACTGCAGATAAATGTGAATGGGAAGCAAAGTGGACATCATGAAAAACTTGCAAATAAATTTAACTTGAGTTGAAATGTGTTCAACTTTTACGCATTCATAACGTAATATTTTACAGTCAGATGGAATTTCAGGCTCTTCATGGTGAAAGACAGCAACAGGTGGAAAGGCTTGCGATAGCACCATGCAAAGGAAAATATCTCTTATGAGTATGTGTGGCTTTGAAGAGAACCAGGAGTATACTCAACATTTTGGACTGCGTGCTCAGTCCATCATCAAGTTACAAATTTGCATTCCCATTCACTTTTGGGCTAAGTATGCACCAGCCTTGGTACTTGTATCAGTGGGATCTGCGCTAAGTATGCGCCAGCCTTGGTACTTGTATCAGTGGGATCTGCGCTAAGTATGCGCCAGCCTTGGTACTTGTATCAGTGGGATCTGCGCTAAGTATGCGCCAGCCTTGGTACTTGTATCAGTGGGATCTGCGCTAAGTATGCGCCAGCCTTGGTACTTGTATCAGTGGGATCTGCGCTAAGTATGCGCCAGCCTTGGTACTTGTATCAGTGGGATCTGCGCTAAGTATGCGCCAGCCTTGGTACTTGTATCAGTGGGATCTGCGCTAAGTATGCGCCAGCCTTGGTACTTGTATCAGTGGGATCTGCGCTAAGTATGCGCCAGCCTTGGTACTTGTATCAGTGGGATCTGCGCTAAGTATGCGCCAGCCTTGGTACTTGTATCAGTGGGATCTGTAACATTTCTCCATTCCAATTAGTTGCATTAAATATTGTAAAATTCCAGAGATTGAGAATTGACCATCAGCTACAATGTACAAAGAACTTCAAGTGCGTGACCAAAGCTTGTAACATTTTCCTCTTGGGCTTTTGATACATTTGAAGAGTTTTAAAAAACAAATCAAAAAAAAATAAACTATTTTACTTTTGAAATGACAGTGGAAATAATTGTTTGGTCATGAATGAACCTTTGTTTGGATTGGAGTGTTTCTGGAATTGCTCTTTGTATTCACATCTCAGGTATCATACTTCCTGTATTAGTTTATTTGGAATGTGAATTTGGAAGTTTGAATAGAAATGCCTTTTCGTAAAAATGGCATATGTACACTCACCCAGACACCTGCTCCTCTGGCTATGAGTATTCTACTAAGTCTTCTTGGGGTATTCCTCTTTTACCGTCAGTTGCTTGTAGTACTAATTAGAAGCAATCAATTATGAGGCTGTTTTAGTGTGTATATTTAGCAATTTGAGATTTAACTGACATTTTATTGAACTCAGATTTACCAAAGACATTACTTATCCCAGACGCGTTGTACGTATAACATGTTACTAGGGAGACTAATACCGTGTGAAATAACCTAAACCTTGCAGGTATGCTCAGTGTTACAATACATACATGTATGTATTCCAGTATCCAATTGATACAGTCATAAGACGGCAATCTTCAATACTATGCATGTGTACCCTACACATTCCCCCCAAGCAAGAAAACTTCATTCTGAAATAATTGTGTCGTTTACATTGTAAGTTGAATATGTTCTTACAACATGTATTCATCCCATTTTCCTTCAACTTAATTGCCTAGGTTTTTTATTTAGCCATACCTTTGTTTACATGTAGTCCCTACACAAATTTTTTAATAACTTGAAAGGATATGTATTCACTGAAAAGGAAGAAGAAATCTGAAGTCCGAATTCTGTACATGTACATAAATGTATAGTTCACTTGATCCATGTTAAGAAAATGAAAACGTAATGAAAGAACAAAAACATGCTTGTGTACATATTGCAGAGATTCCACCGGGTCTGCTTCAGAAGTGAAACTTTTTAATCCTGGCAAATTGCATCAAAACGCACGACCAAGTGTAGTGAGCGGAGCTCATAATGGCAGGGGTTCCCTTCCATTACCATAATGTCCAGTCCCACTTACTTTTCATGTTTGATTTGAGGGCGTTTAAGTTGACCGTTCTATATAAAATTCAACATCCGTCCATATTTTGACGAAATCTGTTGCATGCAGCACATATATAGTATAAGATTTTTAATTCCAAACTGTGCACGGCAACATTGCAGCACGGTTGTAGACATCGATCGACAGCCCAGCACATCCGGTACAATATTCCTATTCATACAACCACTACGATTCAGAACCACTGGCTGAAAGATGCACCTGATTTCAAGGCTGTGATAAATGTGCTCAGCATAAACGCCTTCAAAAAGTGTGTGGCTCGGATCAGACAGTTTCACTGCACTGTGAAGTATGGTGCTGCAGGATCCCTGGTCATTTCAGTGATCATGTCATGAAGGCAGCCTGGGTTTTTTAAGGCAACTGCAGGGAAAGAACTATTTAAAGTTATGCCGTGCGCGACCGTCATTGAACAGGAATTCAGAGGTGAAAAATTAATGCATTCTTGTTTGTGTTTCCTTATATGGCCTTTTCTTTTGAGCCAACAAGGGACAAAGGGAAAAAGAGAATTTCAGGGGTCTGTTGAAAAAACCCAGAAATCCAGATAAAACCGGAAAAGTAACATCTTTGAATTATACATAATATAAGTTTTCAAGAAAAGGCAAAGAAAGTTAAAGAAATTGCTCACTCATTGACATCATCTTTTCTCTACAACTGTAGCCAGAATTTGTAAGGCAGGATTAGGCACAGAAATTTATGGGGTGAATGGTTGGTTAGTGTTGGTTTAAAAAAGATGTTCATGCTGAGTTGATGCATATCTGCCATTTTAAAACTAATTGCAGAAATATATGGGCAAACAAAACTAATCTGATTTAAATTAACTGATAATTTATGTGTTTAACTGAGGGAATATATGTGCTTCACGTACGTTTAAGACCAGCTCCAGAGAATGGACGCAACTAATGCTTCAGCTGCAGGTGAGGGCATTATCAGCGTTCAGTCTTCTGAGCCAGTCTTAAAAGTTCACATGTGAGACTGGCCAAGCACATATTTATTCCTAGTCACAAGTACCTTTTTGTCAGAGATTCAAAAGAAGTCAATATATGACGGATTTCCAATGATTTTTTTGTGGAATTTTATTTTCTTTTTTCCAGAATACCCCCATCCATTTTATTTTGTAGTTGTCCAAAAGAATCTCCTTGGCGTGCTTGGTGAGCTGCACGCATAAAGACTTTTGACCAATCAGAATCTATTAACCAATTTAAATGACAGCCAAAGAAGGGTCAGTTTGAATTTCTAAATTGCAGCTTATTAGTTAAAAAGGATTCCAAAGCCAATGCAAGCTGTTTATGTGCTTGTACCTGTATTCAGCCTGATGAAATATTAAATTGGGTTCGGTTATAAATTAAAGTTACGAAGAAATAACAGGACCCAATGTAAAGTGCCATTGAATGTCATGGCATGTGTATTTTTACAGAGTGTAGTAAAACTGAAATAAGTGCAGTTATCATAACCAAAATGTTCAAAATGGCCTTCAATTCCACTTTTATTTTTTAATCAAGAAGATTGGATGGCTAAGTGTTCTACATGCATTAGTGCCTATTATATGTAAGTTGAGCATTTTTAATTGCTTGAAAATAAATCAAGTGAACCAAATTTTCTTGAATTTAATTTTGAAAAGTACATGCATTTTTCATTTCAGAGAAATTTTCGTTTTTGTTGAAGAGAATTTCGGGGGAATGCAAAAAGATTTGTTGGTTTCTGTTTTTTTGGTTTTTTTTTTTAAGAAAAAAAATTGTGGTGCTTGCTCGCACTTGCTCAAAAAGCCACCTGTAATCTAGTACATGTACCTATAAAATTCAACATTGAACTTCAATTTGATTCCATGGTCGTAGTATTTTACATTTTCATATTGAGGTCCTTTTACACTTTTATCATTTAGGCAGCACAGTTTTGAATATTTCAGTTTCAATCAAGGGTTTATTTTCGAAGTTCTGTATTTTGAAAGCCCTGACATGTTTTAAGCCTACATTGTGGACATGTACATAATGCACTTAAACATAATCTGTTTTATGTAATGATTACTTTAACAGAATACTTAATTTCAAAAAGTGAAAATTAGTTCAAGATTAACAATAAAACAAGTGACTGTTGTGTAAAAACCGGTTTAGTGTAAAATAATTGTGGAGTGTTTTAGTGTCTTACACAAGACATTGGTCTGTAATTTGCCCTCAACAACTCCCTAGACTGGTCATTTTATCCTTCTCTTCAATATAAGTCATTTGTACATGTGAACCATTCACATGTATTTGAGGGGGCCCAAATTGCGAGTAGCTCAGCAGATTTAACTTGACAGATTAGCCAGGAGAACCACTGAGGATATGTGATCGCCCTTCTCCAAGCAGATCAAAAGCCTCAAATATGGCCAAAAATTGTTGGGACACGTGTCAATAGACATATCCTCCCCAGGTCCTCCAATCCCCTGGTCAATGCTGTCATCTCCAACTTGGATGCAGGCCGCGCACCGAGACCCAACGTTGGGGGAGCCGGGGTGTTTTAACGAGATGATGGTCAGTCATGTCCGAGTCGGATGCTGTTCGGTTGGGGTTTATTTTACTGCCAGTTTGTGGAAAACATAAAATGGCAGACGACAGTTAAATATAAACACGTGGATTTCGGGCAAATTGAACAGGTACTAGAAAAGGGAAGAGAAAAATCCTTTTTTGTATTGCGTGTGTATTACAACTACTTTTGGGCTGGAAGGGCATCGTTCTGGAAAAATATCGCTCGCGCACGAGTGTTGTACTACTAATTGAGGACGTTCGACGCACTCTGTTCGGCCACGGTTCGGCGAATTTGTTTCTTGTCTTAGCACAGCGCATATGATTTACAAGAAAATACGTTTATGCATTATCAGCTCAGTGTACCTAATACTTCAGCTTGTTACCACTGTTAGTTTACAAAGTTTCGACAGTCCTTCAATTCTCCTGTCCTATCGATGATTCCGAAGGTCCTCCCGGCATACACAAGCGGGCACGTGTGACCACTGACAATCCTGGCCCAGTTATTGTTGGGACACGTTTCAATAGCCACACCTTGCCCAGGCTGCATCATAGACCTTGACCCATGAGGCACATCGACCGAGATGGCAGAGGGGGGGAAGTCTATCTGGGTGCTCTGTCCCAATTCAATGAAAATTCTCCGCCAGGACGAGGCACACAAAAAGTACCCCCCAGAGATTGTTTCGAAAAGAGGGGTCTCTTTGGGCCAAGAAATGGCGGGATTGTGTCAGTATGGCCCAGGATTATCTCTGTAGATTCAGGGGCACCCATCTGGGGGCAAAGCAGACAAAAATGAGATTGAAAATTAGTCAGAAGAGCCCCGGAAGGTGAGGGATGTCATTTAAAAAATGGCCGCTGGGAAGGCTTGGCAACATTCACTTTTGGGGGGGGGTTGCGTTTGTTTTGGGCGGATAANAAACAACACGTTGTTTTTTGTTTGAGAGGCCTCAGGGACTTCAGTTGCCTGCCATGGGGCTCCCAACTTGGTTGATTTTACACTATTTTCAATGGAGCTTGAATTAGTTCACTGCACCCATCTGGCTGTATAGTTGAAAACCACCTGCCTGTGTTTTTCGCTGCGATGCACTCCTCAACCACATTGAAGGCTTATCCTCTTATGAGCAAAATCAATCGTCCGAGGGCGCCCTGTATCTGCAGTATTATTAATATTTGGGGCAGTTTACTGAGGACAAAATAATGAATTTAATACAATTAAAAAGTTCATCTTGAAAATACCTTCAAAAGGTAGTTGAATCCATGTCTATGGACATCTGCGAATTCTAGGGCTTTCGTTCATAATTATGAACACCTCTAACTATTACTGTTTATGTGTCGGAATCTGAATTACTAATCTTGGGTTTGGTAAGTGAAACCGTGACGATTTTTTTGCTCTGTTTCAGAGATGTTCTTGAGAGGTTTTACGGCCAGTCAACCCCCCCCCCCAAAAAAAACATACGGTGTTATTTTTGGTATCCTGCCGTTTTCATGCAGACAAACGAAGGAAATATGGAATGGTCATCAGTGCTAGTATTTTTAGAAACTTTTGAGAAATGGCAGATACATTTTGGCAGTAATCTGTTTGAGTTCGAAAAGGGACATACTTGACTAAGGAATGAATCACTTTTTGCCGTGCCATTATTCTTAGTCGAGTATCGATACTAAACATATAGCAAAAGAGGCACGGATTAACTATAAAAATGGCAACATTAAGTTTCAGTCAAATCAAAATTAAATGTGAAGTGGGTTACCGCGGGGGAAAAAACTGAATGAACAAAGCGCCGTCGTACAGGGGTGTATGCAGCTTTTGCGGCGAGAACGGACTAAAACCACAAGCTTTAATGATTTCACATGCATGGGATTCTCGATGTCATTTTTCTGTTGCTGGAATTTTAACAGCCAGGAAAAGTTCGTTTGTTTTGAGTTTGTTTCTTTTTTTCGTGCATGTATGTTTTGGCAGACCTGTTGATAGATCAACCATTTTCACAAAACAAAGTGGCAGTTGTAACGCATTTAGAAAGAGGTTGGCTCAAGGAGATTAATCCAACATACAAGTGGGACATATTTTTGGAAAATATCATATTTCTACATTTGAAAAAAAACCCGAAAACAATGTGTAACTAGGACAAATGAAAACGTTTTTTCAAGAAAATGACAAGAATACAGTAAGGAGGGGGATGCCGTCGGCGTGCCACCCCTTGATCTGTTACTGTTGAACCATCAATTATGAAACATTTAGAGATACACCACTGCTTTCATGTGGACCCGAGCACGGTTAGAGTCCTATTGTTGTCGAAAATTTTGGAAATTCATGAAAACAAATCATCATCAATCCTTTAACTCGCTGTATTCAAACCTAGAAAAATGCCTTGTGGGTTGTGCACCCAGGGAAAGAACAAAAAAAAAAAAATAAAAAAAGATAAAAATAGTGAGGGCAAAATCCAAAAGTTATGCGGTGTTGACCAAGCATTCAGGCGCACGGACTCCTGAAATTCACTACGAATCGCAGTTACCGGCTTCCATATAGGACTCTTCTGGGGTCTCAGGGTTCCCGGCCCACCACACTTCCTCCCTGCCCATCCATTTTACCCCAAAAGGGTCGAGCGACCGTGCAAGGGAGGAACGAGACAAGCCCCTAAGCCCTGGCCGCCGAGTCGGCCATACGTCTCGAACCTGTACTAAGGTGCTCACCTGGACTTCGCGGACAGTCCCAGCAGAAGAGCTTACCCCGTGGGCTAAGGTACTGCTGGTATTTGACGGGGTGAATTAGAGTCTCTTATAGCTACTAAATGACGGCGAGCGTTGGGAAAATAAAAAGCCACCACAGGGATTCGAACCCACCATCTAACGATCGGAAAACCGCCAACTTAACACATTCGGCCATTTCATAGTAATTGCTTCTACCGTCTCTAACAAAGCCATTAACCTTATGGAAATTTAATCAGTCCGAGTACAAACCAGTCTCAAAGCATAGGTTATGATTCTAAAGGCCGAGACTTTGACCTGTTAGCCTCAGGGCTAAGGAGAAAGGCTTATTACCCTCAAGACCAAGGCTCCACAGTGTAAACTTACTGCTACATATATATGTGTAAGGATAATTCCGTAAATTAGAGGTCCAAAATGTTGATATGTTTGTTTACCTGTTACATCGGACCTTTGTTATTTGACATGGAAATATCATCGGAATTGATTTTAAACTATTACTATTTGTTTGGCAGGTACTTTGCATTAATTTATCACCTTGGAAATTAGAAAACGTGTTCTGAACTTACAAAAGCATGTCACATGTGACAGCGACACGAAAAAATTGGACTCCTAATTTCTGGAATAATCCACAAGACATGTCACGTCATAACGAATCATGACTCAATGATGGCCAAGTCTGCGGCAGATATTTTCAACGCCAGCCTATTTGTTGTTCTGTTACAGTGATCTAAAATTCTGTGATAGGTGACAAGAATAATTCTGCATGACGTGTTCAAGATGAGGTCACGGCGTAGACAGTCAGGTAACATACAATGTAATTGCAATTATAGCATCAGTTCCCGAGCCAAGTTTACTGCGAGGCTGTGGCGTATCCGGGGTGGGGGCCAGCTCCCCCCCCCCAACATTGAGGGGGAAGGACCAAACAAGACTTGACCAGGAATGTAGCTGGTACAGGAATTTATTTCTTGCCAGTATCTTTTAAAAACCCTTGAAAATGAATGGCCCCGTTGAGATCTGAATCCCAAAGTGAAATGTGAATGTCAGAGTCCTACCCACCAGACTACAAGACTTTCTGACATACAGAATTAATGTTGAGATACCATATTTATACCTAAGTATGAAATAATTGGAAAAGGGGACAGGTTGTACTTGGCTTAAGGTACAATGTACCTGAAAGTTAGGGTAAATCCTATTCAAATGGTTGAAAATTTGACACAGTCCTACAAAAAGGGGATTTGAAGTTTATCAACATGTTGGATCTAAACCTACCAAAAAAAAAGGAAAGAAGGAAAGACAGAACATCTGAACAAAGACACAGGAAGTACTTCTCGTACCTTTCTCAACATCAATGGAGCATACCATATTTTATATTCAATAAGTCTCCGCAATATTCTCATTTACAAATACTATACTTCATTATTCTTCAAATATCATTTCAATGGTTTGCCATGTCAGTGCGACATTAAAAAAACAGGAAAAGAGTTTAAGATAGTAGACTTTAAGTAGCTATACTGACGCAGGTAATACTCAAGGTAAAGAAGTTTTAGTCAACACTTTGGAAGATTTGAGGGAAATATAAAAGGAGAAATATATTATTAATCACTATTACCCTATCTTCAACAACATTATTGATGTATTTCTTTTGAGAAGGAAATCTCTGAAGCCACAACAGTGCCAATTCTAGGCACATTCACAACTCAAAACTTGTGTGGCCAAACGTTAAAAAATGACAATGGGTGAGTATTCCATTCTTATCAAAGATTAGCCAAACTTAAGTATCTTCTAATCAATCAGGAAGTAAGACTGGAATTGCAAGAATTAGTTCTTAGATTAATTCTTTTCGTGTTGAAAAGGCTTGTTGCATTAACCACTTGGCTACTACTGATGCTGTGAAGAGGGCCACATCAATTTTTGTACTTCTAATGAGCAGAGTAACTCCTCATCAATGGACGCTATTACTTTAAGATGACACACGTATATTTTTTCCTACTTTGCCTCCATTAAGCCTTAAATTTAAGCATTCACAAATTTGCTTAAGCAAAATGGCCTACTCAAAGCCTGTTAAACAGATCTGCCGGACAAAAAATTGTTCTAAGTATAAGAAAAATCTGCTTACCAGAATAACATGCTACCAGTCAGCATGTAGATGTATGTACTATGTTATGTAACTGTGACTCGTCCTCCTTGGATTTTTACTTCGCACTTAAATATGGTAAGCAACGTTTTCAGCTTGGCAAATCTGTGAAACAGGCCATGGCCACACAAGTGCAAATACAAACTGCTAAGCACGTTTACCTACGCTAAGCACCAGTAGGCCCAAGGAGGAATCTACATTATATTGAATACTGACTGCTGGATGCTTACTACACTTAGCACAAAGTTGCACTAGGCAATATTTGAATGAGAGTGCTGCAACACTATCATATTGCTGGTTATTTGATAATAAAACCAAACCACACTTTTTTTCACAAAATTAGGAACCACTGACTTTAATTTGTGTACCAGGTATGTGTTCTCTAAATGCTATTGAAAACAGCACCCTCAAATGGAAATATTGCCTACTGATAATGATGTAACTCTTGATGAGCATTCAAATGCATTCAGTAGCACCAAATCCAGACTATTATCTATCACTAAGGTCTTTGTGCCAAATCCAGACAATCACAGACATGTTTACTACCAGGTCTTCCTGCCAAACACAGACCATCATAGCCATGTTTACTACCAGGCCTTCCTGCCAAACACAGACCATCACAGCCATGTTTACTACCAGGTCTTCCTGCCAAACACAGACCATCATAGCCATGTTTACTACCAGGCCTTCCTGCCAAACACAGACCATCACAGCCATGTTTACTACCAGGTCTTCCTGCCAAACACAGACCATCACAGCCATGTTTACCGCCAGGCATTTATAATACCCTGGATTCCATACCTTAGAGAAATAACCATTGAAGTCCATAGTGAATGCACAATCTCAAGGTACTTCCGATGTTATGGAATCCAAACGTTCCTTAAGTTTACACCCATTGGCTAAATGAGTCAGGTGCATACACAATATGCAAAAGCATGCCCAAAACACAAATTACTTCATAACTTTGACATCATTTACCAAACATTATAACCATGCACATCACTATGGCCATACAATTTATAATACATACTAGCTGCAGCAGCATGAGAGAATCTTTCCTTCTGACAGGAAGACAACATCTGTGAATTCATGTTAGCTTATTTGCAAAGTCAAACTACATATGGAACACTTCTGTACAAAGTTTTTGAGAACAAAGTACATGTACTGTATTCAGTCAAATGTGAGACTTGACCAAATATAAGAGGTGACAGGTATTCATGGTTTTGACACAATGCATATCTAAATGAATCTATTTTTCTATGGCATCATAATTAGAGGCTGAGCACATTAGCGAGAACATTCCTCAAATGAATAAACCAACATGAAAACACTTGTTCTTGTATTAAATTCACATTTACAGAAGTATTTCAGAATTATAGAATTAACTAATTTGTCAAGAAGTGCACATACAAAGACAAGATCACAAACAGCATCTACACACAAGGACCAGAAAAAATGGATCACCAATCAAGAAATCTCACCAACTGACTCTTTCCACAACAACATCCACCAAGCTTCTTTTGTTTATACATCCACTGCATAAAAGTGGCCAGAAATAAATAGTAGAAAACAACGGCACAGTCTTGAATTTTTGTTTTGTTTTTGTTTTTTTACATAAAAGCCGTCTGGTAAAATGTATGCATACAGAATAATAATAATTACACACTGTACAATGTATTGCCTCTGCATATATACACAAAATATCATGGATAATATAATATGGACTTTGGGACTGACCTATGACATAAATTAGCATACAATGTGCCCTCAAGGTCAATCAAGACCTAATTTTAAGAATGACTAGATTCCAAATCGATAAATGTCTTATCTAGCACAATTCTGGAGTTTAATACTGGCCAGCTACATCTACGGCATGTGCTTGCTTTAATCTCCCACAACTTCCACTGATTTCAGTGTCTCCCAATCCATCTGCAATGTCTGAATTTTAAACCCATGATTTTTAGACACTGATTTATTTACATTTACGTAAAAAAAGAGACACAAGGTGTGGAACTTTCATAACCAATCCAGCGTCAACAGTGACTCCATTTGGAAAACGTTAAACTGCTGCATCATTTACACCACGCTTCTAAAATTGAATGGGCATGCAATCCAGTCACCTGTTTCCAAGCACATTTGTTATTGAACATGTGCATGTAGCACAACATTGCCCTGTGTTGCAACAATGTGCCTCTAAATCAGCACTGCCACAAAGCAAATTTTAAAAAAAACATATGAAGTCTGGCAAAATGAAAAACAACATTAAAGACAAAAAAAGATCAAGTAATCCATGATTTTCTCTCCAGACAGGTAATTTCACGCTACCTACTACAAGTTTTCCAAAAAGTCGTTGTCACCCATGGCTGAAGACTTTATTCTGAAGCTGTGCTTACTTCTGATGCCAAAGAATGAAATTTTCAGTCTCATGTTTAACCGCTTTCCAATATTATCAATAAATACCCATCCAATATTCACCCAAGATCAGCCTTAGTTCAACAGAATAACCTGCTGTGTCAATGTATCTACGGCAATCTCACTGATGCACATGACCCAACAACATATCCACCATTATCACAGGCAAAGGTTGTGGTTTCTCAGTGTTTCGGTTGCATGCAAGCCTTCTAAGCTATAGAGTACCGGAGTGATTGTCTCACACACAATTATGAGTGTATTAAAAAGGCTTTAGGGAGAGAACCACTGAATGAACCAGCATGTCCACAGACTCCATTGCTTTGTAGTAATGTACCTGATTCAAATAACTTCATGCTTTCGGTACTCTATGATAAATGACAAAAAACATGAGGAAAACACAGGCAGAATTCAGTGCAAGGCTAGTGGGACTAACAACTGTGTACCAACTAAGAGGTGACCTTATGCTAAGAAAAATGTCACAGTATTTTACCTGAATAAGCCTCACTATGTAGTTTACAACAAATGATTGCCAACCAAAGGCTTGTATAAATGGTGGTCAACCTGAGGAAAACTGTGAGGTCACATGATGATATTTTGATGTCTTTTGAATGGATTCAATGAAGTATAAAATCACAGTGCATGCCTCATCTAAGTGTACCGTGCTCAGTAACAATTTTTGTTGACTAATTTTACTCATTCTACTGCACATTACACTTTTGCAAAGGATGCTTTCTGCAAGTAACAATAAGGTTTACATCAACACAATCAGCGGCAGTGATTCAACGACAATGGCAGTGTTTTGGTTTAGAATAAAAGAAGGAAATTAAGAATACACTAATAATTTCAATCCATTCTTGGATTCACAAAAGGAATATTTTCACAAGCAAACTATGAGCAAACAATACTTTGTGCATGATTTACAAAAATACAATCTGTGCTTCAAATCAGGGTGCTATATGTCTGAAAATAAACACTAAGGCACAAAAAAGCTCTCTCAAGGTCAAGGGATGGAAAAAAGAATACTTTGATTTGCATATTAAACAAGCTGCAGTTTCATTCATTTTGGCTCTGTTTGGAAGTAATGGATAAAAGGAAGAAGTTCTTTTGCATATTCATAACAGCTGCTACATATTCAGATGGGCTTTGACTGCATTACATGGCAAGATGATTCCATCTCAAATCCTACTGAATCTTGTTGGTTGAAAAAATGAAGCTCATTTGTGATTGGTGGGATGAAACAAGATAAGTTTTTACAAGAGACACTCTGATTGGGCAATGCAATACATAATTTACGAATACAATTTTCATTTTCACAAATAAAAAAAAAATCAAGATCACCCTTGATTCAAGTATCACCCTCAGTAACATTCTTTTTACAAGAAATATTTACAAAAACAAACCCTGACAATCAATTTTAAAAGAACTTCCCCCTCTACAGCAATGCCGAGTCCACTGTTTGACAGTTAATAGGAAGCATCTATTTTGGTCTTGAAGGGGTGGACAGTTACAAAAAAAGTACACAAAACTCACTGACAGCACCCTGTTGGACAAAATACTATATGTCTGAATGTGTAACATTTCTACATGAACTAATACCTTGCAGTTGGTTGAGGGAGTCATGTGACCCTTGACCAACTAATGTCTCACTGCCCTCGGCAGACTGACCTTGCTGACCTTTCTCAAGGTCAGGTGCAGTGGCTGATTGCGTGGCAGCTGAGGGGAAAGAGTTCTTGAAGGAAGACGGAACATCAGAACCAAGCTCACTATCTGTGGCTGAAAAAAATAATAGACACAAAAACAGTGCACTCTCTGTGAAAATGAATAGGATGGCACATTCTAATGTAAGTTATGCAAGTTAATTCACAGAACTTGGTTCTTTCTTTATGTGTGTATTTTCTGTGTTCATGAGTGTAATTTGAGGTTTTTCTGCTCATGGCCTAAAGTTTAGCGCCTGCTGGTCTGATGCATCATGCACGATTACCACGCGATGCACGGACATTGTTGGCCAGTTTGCCGTCGTGATTGTGTGAATTGTTCATAATTTTCTTGTGAATTGCCGTATGTAGAAATTTTTACACAGACATTAAGACAGGTGTTCATCACTTTCTGAGATACTTTTGGAGGCTGTCGCCCAACTGATGCCATTCAACTAGCACAAAATTGCCCTCAAACAAAAAAAATTTCCGACCTACTAACCCAATTTTTGAGAGTTGCGCCTGCACAGCACAATGTTTTTTTTGGCCTAATAAAAGACTGCGTGTACGCAGTAGGCCTTAGTTAAATAACAATAATTGTGGGTTCTGAGAAATCTTTGGTAAGTGTTCATCTACGTAAATTTATGACATGGCCTGCCCAATCGCGAAAACTAAAAATAAAAAAAATCATCGGGGCCTGGACCCGAACAAGGATTGCTCAATGCGGCTGTGTGTGAGGTTCTGGTAGGACCAGGAAAAAAAGTGAATTTAGACCCCTGAAACTGCATGTTACAACTCTATCTTTTTATATAATATGGCAGATCAAAAGCTGGTTATGGCAGAACAAAATTGATTGTGTTATGACATTTTGGCTGAGCACTTTTTTGGTCTAATTTCACGCTCTGGGTAGGGAGGGGTGGGTGGTAATGATAGGGTGAAGTTCAGGATTGGAAATCCACAACCGTACACAATCTTTCATTTAAGCTCAATGTATTTTCTAATCATACTCAGCTCTGAAGACATCTTCTACCTATGCTTTTCAATCATGCTACCATCCATTCTAGGAAAAGTGAAGCACTGTTCTGGCAAATATTACATTATCCAAAGTGACATACACAAACGAACCTTCTCGACTGGATACACCGTCTCGTTTCCTTCCCCTGCTGTATTCTCCTTTTGGATGCCTGCTTGGACACACTGGCCGTTCACCTGTACCATATGACCCTGGCACACCAAAGGTCAATGACACCTGCTGACCTTCTCTATCTGAAGTCCCACCAACCCCACGTAAGCTTCGGCAACTTCCATTGACATAGAGATGCTCATTGGATGCACCACTGCTGTGATTGGAGTTCTCGTTAGGGTTGGTCAGGTGACATGGTTGAAGGGTTGGATTGGTTACTGGGATATGACCATTAGCAACAGGAGAGGTCGGAGGTGAAAGACCAGGAAAGTAGTTCACTTCATCCAGGGTGTCCTATCAATTGGGTAAAAAAAAAAAAACAGAAATGGTGTAAATGAGCATGATCTAATTATATTGCTCGGACTTCCTCAACTTTCCTTCCAGTGTTTTAAACTGAAATGTCTTCAAGAAAACAAACTTCAAATTCAACACTATCTAATATAACATGGCACTATGTGACGTGATATAAACTAACAATATATGATACAAAACAGCACTATGTGATATAAACTAACAATATATGATACAAAACAGCACTATTATTGATATTAAATAGCACTGTGTGATTAAAAATAGCATGTGATATCGACTTACACAATGTCACATAAAATAGCACTCCTTGAAATCAATGTATGTGGGCAAGCCTACCTGAGGCATTGTGTAAAGAGGACGTGGGTCACCGGGCGTGACTGTTTCTCCAAATGGTGGGTTTCCTATTCCATGACCCTGGGGTGTGTTGCCATTCATGTAATGCCCAAACTTATAAGCATTCCCATTAGCATGTCGGTAAGCACCATCACAATAATATCCATGATGAAAATCACCTGGGAAGAAAGGAAATCATTTTAAGTTAGTAAGTCTCTGAGAGGAGGCAGGGGGCTTTGAAGACAAAGGAAGGCTTCTTATTGTGAATGATTCGCGATTTAATTAATGCTTTTGCCCTTTCACTTTGAGTATTCTAACCCTTAGAAACACTGTAGAGAATACAACATTCACACAGTCCAAATACTGCAACGAAATTCATAGTTTCACTGCACATGTTGGAATAATCATCAGGACACACGAGCACACCAAAATGCCTGATATAGCTCAAGTCAGCAGGCTTCATAGCGCTTCAAACTGCTTCCCAAGAATGCAAAAGGTCAAACTCGCCCTGATAAGCTCAGTTCGCATGAAACAAGCGTGAAGTAGCACTGGGTTGAAAGTGGGGGTGAAAAATTCAATTTTCGACCCAGGGCTGTCATGGGTTTGCCCTAGGTTGGGTTCAACCCACAGGCTCTAGTGTGAAAAGGCCTAATGTAATGCCTCTACGTGTAAAAGAGAATTCAAAATCTACTCACGAGTAACTCTGTCATTGTTGACTTGTTTGGTTCTCCAGATACACATGACAGCAAACATGATGAGCACCAGTAACATAGCACCAACCACTACACCTAATGTGATGTATAAGATGTCTTGACCTTGACCAGAGGATGTATCAGGCTCATTGTCATCTGGTAAGGAAGGGATGTTAGGATTTCTTCCTCCAGAAGGTTGGTTGGAAGGGAAGGGATCAGGGATGATGATAGGTGGAGGGGGTGTTTCTTGAGCTGGTGGAGAGACATCGAGGTGAAATTTGAAATTCTCAAAATTAAATAATCAAACTTGATCTCATTTCTTTGCTTTGGCTTTTTTGTGTAGATTCAAGAATGCACTGGTCTGTCACTGTTGCTACACCTGCTCCAAGCTTGATTTTCCAATTTTAATTTAGGTACCAGGTAATGCAAGAGGACAGATTTAAGGAGGACTGAATAAATCCTTTTACAAAAATGCACATGGTATTGACTATTCAACGGAAAGTGGGCAAACCCCAAAACCTATCCCCATCTTTTAGACAGCAGCTTTGGCCAAGTTTCCTGCAAATTGTTACCTATGTTTTAAGTAACTCATGACTACAATTTGAGTAAACTCACCCATGGTTCCACGGATGACAACATTACTGAATTGACTTGCACCACCATCATTGAATGTCTGCATCTTAATGTCATAGGTCAACTCTGCCTCTAGATTTCGGATCTGATAGCGTCGGACGTCTCTGCCAACCACTGGTGTACGTGTGTAATCATTATCATCATCGCTGTCCGTGTTGCGATAGTGGACATAGAAGCCAGTCACCGGGATATCAGGGAATTCTGGTTCAAACTAAACAAAGATTTCAATAAAAATTATTTTAGATTTGCAATTCTTTATTTTGGCAACCGGTACAAAGGTAACGTAGTTTCATAGTAATAAGTACTCTGTAAATTGGAGTTATCTTCCTGGATTTGTGTAAGGTTACTTCAAGTGTATTTGTTTCATCTAGCTCTTGCTGTTGTATATTTGTGATATTTGCAAGTTGACACAGCTAGAGTGCAATAAACTTTGAATATCTGCACTGAACACAATCAGCCAGCATTTTCTTTCTAGCTTTACAAATGTAAATCTGAAAGCAGTGTTAGCGTGGTCTACATCCTCTTATCCCATTTCAATCTAAGTGTAGATCTAACTAACGCCTTCCGCTTATTCCACAAGGTCATAACAATTATGGCATTGCTCAAAGTGGTCAATGCATATTTAATAAAGCACACAAGTGATAACCCTAGTGGCAGTGGATTGAGTCCAGATCAGACCAACTAACGACTTACCTCCCATTCAACCAAGATTGATGTAGAGCTCATAGCAATACAGTTAATAATTCTTGGTGGATCTGGAGGTGAACTAACAGGTGGATCCATGCTGCCTGGTACATGCATCAGAAAACGATTTGACATCTCACTAGGTTCACTGTCACCATGTGAGTTAGATGCAATGACACGGAAGCGGTACGTTGCGCCTGAAGTATAAAAGGAAGAAATCAAGATAAAATTATCTTAACCACTTCCTGCCGGGGTCTCCGAACTCGGACAAAGGGCCCTGTAACAAAAGACCGTACTCCAAAAAAAAGACCAGGCTGCTGGGCATTAGCAACATTTTTCAATCTCAAAAGTGGTGATAATCCAGCCTTGTTTTGAAACCGTATACCAGCGTTTGGGGCATTTATAGCGAGCGGATTACCATCGGCGACAAAAGCACTCTACCACCGCAGTGGTGAGCCACACAGCACTGCTGCATGCTAATCTGGCCCCATTGAAAAGAGGTCAGCAGTGCACTGAGCCAGGTTCATGAACAAAAGAAAGTTACATAACACCGCACAATCTGGGCTCTTTTTACAAGGCTGCAGGCCTGGCTGAAATACTCGGGTATCAATGAAGGTCACCTGTCAACTTAGAGTAGTGCCTAAAGATTACTTCATGTGGCTATAAACGTCCGTTCAATGAAATGATAAATTTTTGAAGAATTTTGAAATTGAAAAAAATGATAATTATGCTGGCACAGAATCATCAATATTGAAAAATGCCCTGGCATGAAGTGGTTAAAAGGAAAAGCTGTTAGGTCAGGCAGTTGGTTATCTCCAGTTGCCATGACAAAGAATGACTGAAACCATTTCTACTTCACATGGTTACACAAAACACCTGTTCCTTTACCGTATAAAATTCCTTATCACAGAAAGCGGCAAGTGAGATGTGAAAAGAGCGAAGCATACATGTCCGTCAAGTGAACAGAATCAAACTCCTAATCTACTGGTTTCAGATGTGGGCATATGAGCAGCATTGTTTGAATGATGATATAAGATTTGTTCCAAGACTTACCTTCTTTCAATCCCTGTACCTCATACACTCTCCTATTACGAGGGATGACATTGGAAGCGGTAACCCATCCATCTATGGATGTGACATCCCTGTACTGAATGGTGAAACTAGTCACTGGTATCCTGCTCAAGTAATCCCATCTTGTCTGCACCGATGTGTCTGATGTCTTGATGATGATTGGTTTTGTAGGAGCTTCTGGCACTACAGAAAATAAACAAAAAATTTCAATCAAAACTTTCATCCAAACGTTTAGCAGGACTTGCTGAAAATAGTCAACAGGTCTGCTGTCAGTTTTTGTACCAAAACTTTTTGGATTATATTATGGTGATGAACTTTTCCCCTGAGACTGTCTGTTAACCACAGACAGCAAACCTGGCATAGAAAGCATGTTGCCAAGTTGGTTTATTGAGGAGAGCTTTGCAGCTGATTAAAAATAGATCCGAAGGCAAAAAATTGCTCTGATGACACAATAAAGACACAAAATAACCTTTCAGTTTTAACCTACCTGTTCCAGGTTTATTAGGTTCATCTGTTGTTTGTGTTGTGATTGTGATGTCATCATTAACAGGTGGATTAAGGACATGTCTTGAGCTGCTCTCTGGGACAGGTGTGGTGCTAATTTTCTCTGTTACAGAATGAAAAAGTAGAACTAAGAAGTGTACTCTATTTCAGAGAAAATCCACAGAATTAGCACTACATTTATCTTGCTAATATATGAGTTGTCCAGTAGATATGATGGGACCGAAAACATCATAGGGACAGATTTTGTCCCTACAACTCCATCTTGATTTTCTAACAATATAAGGTGAGTAGAATATGGACTAGCCTTGTGGTATGTGGAACACGAGACGCGCTAAATTATTCCATGTTCCACCAACATGAGCATGAATTTATCTTCTAGCAAACTAGCTGAGTGGTACAGTAATATACATGCTTTTCACAAAAAAAGTAACGTAACAAATGCCAAGTTCTGTAGCCAAGGGTGGTGCAAAATGTTTCAGAACAAGAGGAACTTTAGCAACAGTTTTCTTTATGTATGCAATCCTGAAAAATTCAGAAACTATGGTAAGCGCAACCTACCAGTAGGAAATGCAAGAAATAAGCCTACATGTTAATACACGTAATGATTAGCAGTGTATGCAAATGAGCCACTTTTGAATACACATTGAATTCTGCAGCTGTGCCTTTTACTTGAGCACAAAACATCACAATGCCCCTTAGGTTGAGCAGTAGAATATGCAGGTGGAATGCATCATCACACTGCTTGTTACTATGGATCAACCAATCAGAACTGAGGAATCAAGCTTGCTTGAAGATAAAAAGAATCGTCCCTTTAATGCAGTGAAGACCTTCCAGATGATACCAACAATGTCTAAGGGGAAAATGAAAGTCTGGTCTTACCAATCACAGCTAGATAAGCTTCTGCAGCCACCTGTCCATGTTTGTTAGATGCAGTACATCGATACCATCCCACATCATCTGGGCCAACACGGTAAATTGTTAATCCACCTAAGACAAGAGAAATAAGCAAATGTGTTGTAGTGATCATGTTTAGGCTGACTAATTAATACAATGAATGTTCAATTTTGTAATCAGTCTCACCTGTGGGTGGGAGAACTTTATCCTTATCCACTTTGTCCCATTCTCCAAAAGGAATGATTGTTCAGCCATCCATAATCATGAGTAAATAAATAACATATCATTGGAAAGACGGGAACTGTGGCTCTGAGTTGCTACAAGTCATTTTGGTGCAATGCTAACACAATGTCCACAAAATTAAAAATAATTTTCTTGCATTTTTTACGCTCTGTAGAATGCAGATTCTCACTGAAAAACTAGTTCCATAAATAACAGTAAAAGAAATCCAGTTTATTTCAATACATGCTCTGAGTAAGGCTCTAAGAGTTTTTCAACAATTCAATTTTTGCAGTAATGACCTCTTAGCACTGAGCTGATACCGTGAAAATAACAGAGAGCACCTACCAGATTCTTCAGAGATGAAAGTGCTCCTAGTATTCCGTACAACGGTTCCGACTGGGTCATACCAGTTAACAAATGGCATGGGATCTCCTGTAATACCACAGGACAGGAAAACATTTTCTCCTTCGATGGCTGTCGTGTTCACAGGTGGATCAACAATATCAGGAAAGCCCTCTGTAGAGTGACAAGAATATTAAGTGTACAAATTACATTTGTAAAACAATTTCAACAAATTTTACCCACAGGATAAAAGTGGTAGCGCACGTAGAGTCCATATTATTCCTGATAAACTTTACAATTCATAAATTGAGAAGGTTCAAGTTTGGTAAAAATTCAACTCCCAATATTTCCCTTTTACAAAATTTATCTGACAACCTCTTCAGAAATTAGCAAGTATCTTTAGAAATTACCAAGCTCTTGTTCCTCTATACTTTGAACTTGGAAGAAACTATCTGTGCCTTTAGGATATTGAAACAAATGAAGTAAAGATTGACCCCAGGAGCAATTCTTACCTCTGAGCATGAGTTTGGCTGTAGCTTGGGCACTGCCATGTTGAGTGTGTACGAAACATTGATATGGTCCGAGATCTGAGCGCATCACACCATTGATAATAAGCTGACCATCTGAAATAATGGAAGAAAAAGGTATTGAAAGAGGTCATCTGGAAAGGGAAAATGCAGTAGCTGTGAACTAAGCAAGAGTGTGAATCCTGTTGTGTGTGATGATCAAAATTGTGATGGTAGTATCTAGGCCAAATGAAGATTTTGTTCTTCACTCGAGACTGAGGAGTCCTAAACAGTGCATTAATTCATTAGGAAAAAGGTAAAGAAAGTGTGTTCAGTTCTTAGGGAGCAAAAACAGTTTCCATGGATACAGTGCAAAACCTAACTTGTTGGCATCTTCAGGTTATCAAGACCTTCTTTCATAATTACCAAGTATTTCATGTCTCAAGCTCATCTCTGGAATTCTTTCTCCATTAAATAACCAAACGATCTGATTCTGCTTGGCTCCTCGGACAGTACACTTGAAGTGACCAGTGCCCCCCAAGTCAACATGGGTGTTCTTGGGTGCTTTAGAAATCGAAACAGGTTCTGCAAAGAGAAACATCCAACCAAATAAATGCACCATATTACGGCAAAATAACGTCAATAGCTAACAGACTTTCTTCTTTCAATGCCTTCTGAGGTCAACGTCAAAGTATTCAAACTAACTGATTGATACTTAAAGATGATGATCTAGAAAGATGTAGAGAACAAAACCCACAATATTGGCGTTTGACAACAGTGTGCTGCCAAGAATGGGTTGACACTTCCAGACATGTTGACTGCAATGCGTGTTTGGAAAGGATCGACACATTTCACGCATTGTGATTGGCAAACATTGCAAACTCTTGGTGGCAAGCTCTTGAAATGCTCGTATTTCTTTAAAGTGCCATCGATGAAATATTGTGGTCTTGTCTAGGGTGGAGCTACTATGCATCAAGCATCAATGCCTCACTCACCTATGACCTCCAGTATAACCTCTGACCCTTGAGATTGCTTTTGCCCATTAAATGCTGTACATCTGTATGCTCCTGCATCACTCCTGGAAACAGGACTGATCTCTAGACTGCCAGTGTGCTGGATGGCATTGGACGATATTGTCCCATCAACCTTCTCCCATCGGACTTCAGGGAATGGAACGCCATTAGGAACACACTCTAGAACTGCCTTCTCATTAATGATGGCTGACATGCCCCTTGAAGCTTGAATGGTAGGTGGGATTTGCGTTTCTGACACTGCAATGCAAACCAATCAGGCAGAAGGCATGTTTGAATTTTACTATGATTAAAACATCTGCCATCAATTATAGAGCCTTTAGTGGCACATTTAATTTATTTCAAGACATGATTTGTTAATTGTTCACCTAATGCTGACACAAATGGTGTGCCTAGTAATTAACCTTCAGAAAATGTTTATTTCATGGGAAAGCCACAGGGACAGAGTCCCCACATTCACAGCTGTTAGAAGACCCAAGACAAGTAATGTGTAATTGACATCAAGCAAATAACATTTCTAAACCATGATGTGCATGATAGGCACCCTTTCTTTTGGCCCGTAGAAAATGTGAAATAGAAGCAACAGGGGTGTGAGTGGCCACTTAAAATTAAAGGTGAAAACAGGTAATGAGCTGAAATGTAAAAAGATCCCATACTTTTGTACAGACTAGGTGTACAAAAAAGCTGAAAATCAGGGTCAACATCTAAACCAAAAAAGCAGATTCTCACACCCCTGAAGCAAGTAAAAATGATAAAAGGGAGAAATGTGTTACATCCTATTGACAAGAAGCTGAAGATGTTAATGTCCAATCTAGGTGCCACAAAACTCTACGGTATTATTTCCTGAAACTGTGAAAACTTTCTAATATTTGTTGTTCAACACTCACTATCTTGTAGAACTAGTGTTGTCCCATTTCCTGAAGTGTGTGTCTTAGATAGAGCAGGGTTTGTTGCTAAGCAGGTGTAATGACCTTCATCTGATTCTGACACATTAATTATGTGCAGATGTCCTGATGGCATTATCCTATAATGATCTGTAACGAGCACAAGAAGTAGAACTAAATATTAGCAGGAATTAAAAAGTTATTTTCCACTGAGCAAGGGGACCAGAAGGAAGTAATAGAGAGGTGTCAGAGAAAATTCAGGCTCCTTCTTTATCAGTTTACAGCAACCAGTTCTTTATTTTCCTTTCTTTGGGAAAACTCAAAACATTTTAAGGACTGATGAACTGTTACAAAATGGACTTTCAGAAACTTTTGGGGTTACTAATTAATTTTATATAAGCTCTCAGGAGAACTTTTACTTTCAAATATTTGTGATTCTGAAAACTTACAGATATCATTCTATCAACAAAATACTTCTTTGTTATAAAACCACCTTTTGTCACTTAGAAAAGGTAGCCAGGACAAGTCAGCCTCTATTATGACCCCTGACCTGACATTCACACTAGACAGTCAAGTATAAAATGTGGCCAACTTGTTAAGAACTCAGCAAAATACCGGTAGAAATACATGTAATTCTCCCTATATTAAATGACAAAAAAACTGATGTGGAAAACATATCAAATGGAGGAAAATTAGAAACTTGTAACATTTTTATGGACATTACTTTTTTCCAGAAGGCCTACCACAGAGATTATACATGTACACCATCATATCAGAATTGCATCTCTTAACAACCCTCTCTGTGTGTGGTCCCTGTCACACGAGGGCGCCATACTGACCCAGGGGTCAAGTTGTTGCCAGGGTTGGATGCACAGGGGAACAAAAAGACAGTGGCCACATGGGGAACATTATGGGGTGGATTTCAGGTTGGCAGGCAGTTTGATGACCAAACCTTGTGCACTACAACAGGTTTTTTTTTTTCTTTCTTTCTTTCTGGGAGTAAAAACTGTGCAGAAATTCAGGACCACCTTAGTGGCTAAGGGGTGACAAACATCTGAAATACATTTGGCCATTTCCTGAAATTGGGTGATATTACTCCCTAGAATATAAAGACATCTGTCAACAGGGAGAGATTTCCCTTACATGAAAAGTGCTTGTGCACTTTGTACAACACTACGGCTGGTTGACCTTGATTAAGTTCACGTCCATGAAAGTTCAAAACTTTGAAAGACTTTCACACAAACAGCACCTTCTCTTACACAAAATAATTACATCAAAATTGATTCCAAAGGCTGGTACCACAGTAATCTGTTGTGATGTCTTTTAGGAACTGACCTGAAGAACCTGAAATTGGTTGACCTTTGAACTCATAGGACATAACTGCTGATGGTACACTATCTGGTGCCGGGCAGGCTATAACTGCTATGCTTCCCTTCTTAGCATAAGTTGTCATTGGTAGATGTGATGGAAACCGTCTTAAATCTGAAAAAAGAGTTACATGTACATGACCTCAGGGTTACAGACCAGTAAATTCATGATCAATAAAACTTTGTCATAAATTGCACTGTGATGTTCAATGTGACTTGTGCCTTAGACGGGGGTGTGATTTGGGGAAAATGAAAAATCCACGAAACATTTGTCAGAGGGTTTTGCAAGTCACGTCGGCCACAGCTTCCCTACAATTCGCGGCATATCTATTTGATTATAGGAGAGATTCAGGTATTACATGTAAGCTACCACAAGAGCTGTCCTTAGAGCTGTCCAGCCAGGAAAATTTCCAAGAATTCTTGAATCCTTTGTCTACATTCAGATCCCCTTCCCTACCTACTGCCTTGTATGACATTTTTGATGACGTCGATGACATCAGACCACCACGAGAACGAAACGAAGCGCAATGGCAGACGGACGCAAGTTGTACACAATGCATGCAATGACAACACGTGTCCCGTGCAAACACACACAGCGAACGTACAGTACGTACAGTACATGGACATACAAACAACGATCATACCGCTGGCCTGGGTCCCTATGTTTTAACAATGATACCCCCTCCGTTCGATGTACTATTACCTATGTATCTGGCGCATTTCCAGGGGGAGTAAGTGCATGCTATACACCTAAACTTGTGCAAGTCTTTCGCTTAGTTTCGCACCAAATATTGTAGTCTTTGTGTTACATATTGAAAGCATTGACAATACGGAAATCCGGAAAGTCTCACAGAAATTCTGGACACCATAACAGAAATTCCGGATAGTCTCACAGAAATTCTGAAAACCCAGAAAAATGCGGACAAATCACACCCCTGCTCAGAAAACTAGGTTCATTCAAAATTCATGTCAAGGATGAACTACCAGGGGTGGCACAGCTACATGTAGACCTAAACTGTTTGCAACTTCCGTCTACTTACACGCTGCTTGTATATGCGCTACCCTGCTGACAATCATTCCTGACTGGTTCCCCGCTTTGCACTGGTAGTCGCCGTTGTGCGACCTCTCCCCTTCACCCTGAAATGAATTGATTTTGAGGTAGTTGCGTGTGACCTCCATGCCCAGACTAGCTGGGTCTGTAATGTCTTGACCATCGAGTGACCACCAGATTGGAGCATCTTTGGGGTCTACTTTACAGCGCAGCTTGACACGGATGTCATGCTTGACAATCCTGGATCTTGGCTCTCGCAGGAATGATGGGGATGAATCTGAAGAAGACGGACAAAGAATGACAGGTGCTCTCAGAGACATACTAGAATGATTGATTGATTGATGTCAGAACCCTTCCCAACCCTCCCAGAAATGAAGAGTAAAGCTCAGCAGAAGTATATGTAAGCAAAGACAGCCTTCAGATAATGCTGCACAGAATACAGAAGAAGCCAACTGAAATCTGTTTCGTTGACAATGTATTTCAGAAACAAGTCATCATTTATGTGTCTACACGCTATAATGTCTTGGACAATTACATTACATATCTCTCCAATCTGCTCAAAAAGGGAAAGTTTCGAAAGTGAGGAAAAAACCCAGGCAATACATCAAAAACACAATGGACAAAGTGCTAAATTTAATAAGCCAGCATCAGAAATCAACTCATCTCAAGAGGTAAATCTTGAAATACATGTACATGTAGTTTGCAGTACCTGCAGCTACCGGTACCTGTCTATCTGGACTAAGACCCCAGCAAGCTCGGCGGTCGAGTGGTTAAGACATCTGCACTAGTAAGCAGGAAGTCGTGGGTTCGAGTCCCACCCGTATAAACTTGTGATTTTTTGGGAAGCTCTCAAACAAGCACTGAGTTTACAATGTTTATTAATATAGGTCGGGAAAGGGCACAACCCGTAACTAGAAATCAACTCAATCATGGTTCTGTTCTTGTAACAGCCCTCAAAGCGCATCACGTCCCTCCCAAGCAGTGTTGCAGATGAAACCAACCAACCATGCACAAGACTAGTGTTTTAGCTAGGATTTGAAAACTGGGAGTGCAAAATGAAAAACACGGAGTGCATTCTGGTTAGAGTCCAAAATTTGTAGTTGAAACAATCACAAGACCAGTCACAAGTAACAGGCTGAACAATAACAAAGGAATGCTTTTCGTGCAGTTCATTTGAATAGCTTGTGACTTGAATTCAGACAGGAGGTCTTGTGTTGGTCTTGTGCTGGTCTCATGACTACAACACTGCTCCCAAGGTTCCCCTACTGTCACACCAAAGAATCCTCCCCAAGACCTCTGGTTTGACTTGATGACTAAAGGATAGATGCACCCTGAGCAGTTAACAGTGGGATATTGGGTTTGGACTGCTGTGTCAGGAGAGGATTGCCACAGACAGTCTGAAATTAAGGAGTGCTAGCAGACCACAACAGAGATCAGAATTAAGAAACAGCCCACAATTTCTCAAGGACTTTAATTCATTTCAAGAGTCAGAGGGGGTGCACTGGAATGGCAAGTGTAGCAACTCAAGATGGTGTGAGGCAGGAGATCTTGCAATGATGCCTTCAAGATTGTTTGTGTATAAATAGGAAGGCTGTAGCAAAATATAATGTCATATACTGTCACCTGGATTGCTGAAGAATACTGACACAAGGCTATAAAAGAACACTATGGTATGCTTGTTAGATTCTTGCAGGTTGCACAATTGGGTTTATCATTCATCATAATTTGGTAATCACTTTGTGCTCAGTGCTATCAATGAACAATCAGGAAAAATCTAGATTTGCTCAAATGGAACTTCTGATGTTTCTACAGGATTATTTCTGTTGATTACACCAACTGTGGATTTCTTGGGGCATTGATTGACTCTTGTTTTGGAAAAAAATTTAAACACCTGAGGTGCAAATGATCCCCAAACTAATGATCTTGAACCATAATTTCCTATATCTTGCAATACAATAGAATGTTCTTCTACTACTAATAATAATGACAATTTATAGAGCGCATAGATCCACTTAGGTGCTCAAGGCGCTAGTACAAAGAAATTAATTAAATGCAGGAGAGAAGGGAAGATCGTAACCATTATTTATATTATTATTTCTATGATTATTATATCACACTTATATAGCGCCCTCATCCAAAAAGGCTCTATGGTGCTTTACAATATAAAACAATAAAAACAGCACCCATATTAACATGTTAAGAATACAATTACAATTAAAATAATACATAAATAATACAAAGATACATGCAAAATTGTGGGCCAAAAGCAACACTTCCCGGTGCCACCAGAAGACCATACCCAACATGCGTCACCCCAACACTGCCGGTGTTGCTCCCCGCACCCACAGGTGCTAAAAGCAACATTCAGCAGTACTGGAGCAACACCTAACAATGGCAAGGGTCTTAGCATGGACGTCGGATAACACCACGTTTCTGCAGATGTGTTAACCATAAAAATACGAAAAATTAATTAAATTTTTTTTAAAAAGATTTGTTCTAAGAGATTTTTTGGAAAATGCCGGTAGACTGTTCCAAAGGCAAGATACTACGCATGAAAAAGAACGATCTCCCCATGAATGAAATGACCTGAGTTCTCTAAGAAGATTTATATTACTGGAATCTAGGAATTCTAGGAATCTTTCTGAATGCCAACGTCAGAAAAATCAATAAACAAAATGGTCTGTTCTTACCTGGGATGACACATCGAGCCCCATAAAATTGGCATAATGCATGTATACCAACACTGTAGGACTCTACCTTCCAAAAAATCATCCCCAAACCTGGTGGATTTATTAAAGTCCAGGAGGGGCTTAGTAACTCAAGAAGGAAAATGCATCAACAAAGTGTTCACTATCAAAGAAACAAGAAGATGACTTACCTGCTAAACTTTGACATAGAAGCACAGCTAAACTGCAGAGAAGTAAGTCAAGTAGTAAGCAGATGGGAACTTCCATCTTGAAGACGCTTCAGTGTCTGTCAATAGATATACTCATTGAGGAGGCCAATATGATACATGTACCTGAAATGGATGAAATGAAAAGAAATGGAAATAAGATCAATTTATTGCACAAATCAGAACATTCAACAAGCCTGTCAGAAACTCTTCATGAAGTAAACCAGATGGACTTCTTGATGGGTAAGTCTGCTGTGTACTTTAATATGTTTACCACAGTTAATTACACACAAATGTATGCCTTGAGTGATATTGACATTTTTGATTAGTTGATGAAACACAAATAGTTGCATACTATTGCAAACAAATGATAGTGCAGGGTGGCAATGTTTCTAAAGATGGTTACAATGTTACACAAACTCATTTAGTGGTAGAGTGCTAGGGCCCTATTTCACATCACGTTTGGTTTATATTTCAGGTTGAGTGCTGTTATTTGCAAATTTGCCATGTGTGTATATATTGATCATGAGATTCAGCGAACTAGTCAAAGTGCTTGTATAAAAACCTTTTAATACTTTCAAGGGAATTCCAGCGAGTGATAATGAGGGATTATCAGCAGGTTATATGTGTGTGTATAAGTGTATCATTATTATATTATGGCAGTAGTTTTATTTATGAGTACATGTAGCCACACTTTGCTCTTCAGTTTTCTTTTGTCTGTTGGCTTGGATGTTTTACTGCTTGATTATTTTTTCATTTTCCATCTCTCTATTGTCTTCATTCCTTCTGCCACTTTCACCCTCAACCCCCATTCCAACATTCTAAACATAAACCCTATGAGCAGGTGAGTGCAGTTACTGTAAACATCACCAGGCCTGCCCCATAACACCAGTCATACCAATCATGATATACACATGTCATATAGGCCCACTCATGTATCTTTTAACACACAACTCTCATAGTGGAACAGTTTCACAACACAAGACATCACCTCTTATTGTCAACTCAAAATAAACACTCAACCCCCTTTTCCTTCCTCCAAGGAGGCAAGAATTCCACACCTAAGATCACATGCCTTGACTTCTGCTCATGTCAGGTAATCTTTCATCACTGTAGAGCTACTGCAACACAATCTCATGCTCTTTACTGGTTGACCTGACCTGACACCACAAGTTGACCTAGTGAGGTCAGATCTCTTAAAGGAACTCACCACTTCTAAATCTGGTGGAAATAAAACTTGCAAAACAAGAAATCTTCTTATATTTAGATTCAGTCTGAGCAAAAGTTTGACTCAAGATTACCAAACACTCACTAATGATGATCATTATGGTCATAGTCGATCACATTGAAATTAGTCCAAAGCCATATCAATCATAAATATTCATATAAGAGACTATTTGTGAAGCAATTTGTATAACTTCATGAAAATTTAACTCCTAATGACCGACATTATGAATCTTTACAGACTATGTGACTAGGAAACACAGCCCTTTCTCCTTACATTGTACTTTTTGGGATTCTTATTTTGTGGAATGGCGGGAGATGGTCAGATTAAAGCCTTTGTGGGATTTCTAGCTTTTACATGACAAGATATGTTTAATTTTACTTCAGCGATTAGCTTCAGATGATACAAAACATTCAATGAAAATTCACTTGTGATACAATGTGGGTAGAATCTGATGGCTTCATGCAAAAATGACTTTCAGTTTTCTTCAGCTAAGAAAAAATCTGTCATGAGGATGTATTTTCAAACTAATTAATTATCAGAATCACAGGCCATCAATGACTGGCTCCTTATATCTGCCAGTTGGTTATACATCTTCTGATGAAGTGAATTTATCCAATCCTACTTTGTACCAGCACATTCTGTAAGTGGTAGAAACCTTTAACAACCTTCCTAAACACATTCCAACTTTTCTACTGCATTTGTTTTGACAGTTTCAAGAGTTGCAGGTGCATCTGGGCAGGCTACCAGAGTCTCCAAACCATCAGCTTTGATTTCCAAAGAGGAAATAGTCCTTAAATCAGCCTGCTCAAGTCCTAGACATCCAAGATTTCTTGCCTTGAAGGTCACACCTTCCACATCAGACTTGGAGAAACACCCTGGAGATGACATAAGGTGTTTATGTTCAGAGGGGTCAGGGTAAGGACTGTCTGGGGGAAACAGCTCCTTGTTTATGTAAACTTTAGGTCAGCTGTACTTTTTGCCACTTGTATCTTTTTCCTTATATACTTTACATGTGAAAGTTTTAACGTGACAGTACAAAGAAAATTGTCATGTTTCATGGCTGCTTTCTTCCACATGTCAAGTTTGTCTAGTGCACAAGAAAGGTTTATGTTATGTACGTCAATCAGCTGACAGTTTGTTCATAACACAATTATTAACACTCCCAGATAAGAAAAGTGAAAGCCAAATCAAAGAATTTAAAGCAACAAGATAAGATAGGTAATCTACAACCACAAACAACAAAACCCATGAAATCATCCAAACATGACTGGTACTGGTAATTACAACGTAACACTGCTCAATTAACTCCTAAACCATGTCAGTCTTTTCTTCCAAGTATTTAATACCTCTACTTTGATGGTTATGGAGCATGAGCAGAAATACATGAAATGTCTTTTTTTTCTCCAGCAGGAGTGCGTGTGCACAATGGGAAGTCTCATATCCTCTGGCAGGTGCATGTAATGTACATGTACACATATCAGCAAAGTACTAACATGCCTAAATATGAACTGATGGAAGTTCAAAATCCTTCTACAAATTATACTCTCTTTTTGACATTACATGTTTTGCTCTGTTAAAATCCCTCCTCAATTTCTACTTAGCCTACATGTAAATATTTTATAACTTGGAAAGCACCATATAAAGTTTTCGTACATGTACAAATCAGTCTTTGCACACCACTGCTGGAGATAGACAACAATTAATTTGTTATATCATGAATATTAACTCTCCACAAATATCTTGCACATTAATTTGGAAGGTACATGTACCCCATCAACTTGTCAGTCTTCCCACACTGCACGTTGAACCACAGATATGCAGCAAGCAATAAGTGAACCCTTTAAGCTTAATTTGTTACCTAAACAAAGTAAAGTCTTTCAAACAAAGGCCAATTGTATGCAATGACAAATTGATGTTATGTGCTAATGACAGTTCATTGGGTAACATGAATGGCATAGCTTCAGTTTTTGTTACAATGTTTCTCAAAACCAGTGCTTCACAAAGCAATGCCCTGAAGTCCTGATATCAAATGTCCCCCAACAATGATTCATTACCAATATGTTCATGCTGGTACAAACAACCCCCTCCAACCTCTACCTAGGTAATCAGACTCCAAATTAAATTATATGGTCCTAACCCTGCTGTAAAAAATACCCACTAATTCCATGAACTTGGTCTTGCCATAAACCAAACCCACAAAGAGACAGAAAAGGCCCTTGTGTGGGCTCACACGTCACTCACATTATCAATTTCAATCCAGTAAATTTCTTAACTTGTTCCCTGTGTCTAAATGGGAAACAGGTGTGGTGGTCATAAAACTGGGGGAGATACATGTATCACAAAGGGAGTGGTTGATGTGATGAAGGTGATATTTCACAACTGATGGAGTGTGATGCAGCTGAAGATGGCCAAGCCCAAATTGCTGATTGAGGAGACAGGCTCTGTGCAAGTGTGAGGGATATGAGGAGCTTTTCGCTGTCGAAATTTAGCCAGAGTTTTTTATTGTGAGAATTACAGTTCTAGTGTTTACAACATTATTCCTAAAAGTCCTCAATTCTTCACCTGTTGGAGGACTGAGGACTGTTTGGGTTATGGTTAAAATATTCGATGTAACTATTCTTTACCTCCAGCACGGTCTCAATTTTTACAGCATTTCCCATCAAAACAAGCTTGTTTGTGAGGCCATACTGATTCTGTTGGAGATGGATTCAGGGTCAATTCCACTCAATTGCTTTCACTAGGGTAGGATCAAGCCACATTTTTCTCTGGGTCACTCACTCTTTGATCCTCAAGACAAAAATCAGCCACCTTTGGTGCCTCTACTGCCCCTGGCTGAAACAATCAGGTCAGGACCTTGGACTCCCTGCAACTTTTGTATAATCGATGGCATAAGCCAGCTGCACTTCAAATTGTTTCCAGTCCATCTTTCTTTGTAAATGATGAAACTATGGGGATAAGTCTAATTGTGGAATTGACAAGGGATAAAAAGAAGTTCTCTTACCCAATGAAGGGCAACGAGAGGGGTCACAACCCTTACAGAAATGAATGAAAATTACATGGAGTTATAACTAGTATATAGTATACAGTATATTCTGCATCTAAGAGGTCACTGTTCCAGTTCTTTCACAATCAAGGATACCATTAACTTATTTTGGAAAAAGTTGATGATAACAGAGAATTTCTAAGTATAACTCTGAGAAGCAAAAACTGACACACTTCATTGACACACTGCATGATTTTTTTCAATTGTTACAAACAAAATGGATGTAATGTATCTTTCAATTTAAAAATTCAAATTTCTTTAAATGGCAAAGAGTTTTCGGACTTCAGAACTCCATTTCCATCTCCAAATAACTTCTGAACATCTGCGATAGATTTCCCTTGTTGCTGAACAAATCAACCAATCAAGATGGGAACCTGGGAGGACATGACCATCTGATTCCCACCTGTGTTCCCTTGTCACCAGGATATCAGTTACCAGCCACAGTTCTCTTGGAGTTCCGAGCCTAATAACACGTTCTGGCATTATCCATGATGATGATCACCACTCCATAACAGTAAAATGACAGATTAATAAACCAAACTGTAAGGCGCCCTTCCATTTCTGTACCAGTGGTATTCCTGAAACCATTTGGTAAGTGAATGGTATATTGCAGCAAAAACCCCAAGATGGATTTTGCCCTAGGGAGGCAATATCAAACAGCACACCAATAAGCCAGGCTGGAAAATTTGATTTCTGGCTTGCCGTTGGTCCATGGAGGCAATGAGGGTTTGAAGACCTGGTGTCCCGTAGGGAAATGATCCCCCAGAAATAATGACCAGGGAGGGCAATGAACCAGACGGTTTATGCACATGTAGCATGATTGGAATGTGGGAGATGGACTTGGATAACAAGATC